GGTATGACAATGAGCAAGAGGAAAAGATAAGAGAGGAATGAGCGCCTGCGACCGAGAGTGTAGTGGAAGCGGCACTCGCGACATCCCCGCCTTGCAAGCAAGGACAAGAGGGAGCCAAAGAGCGGAAAGAGTTGTATGACAAGTAATCTGGACAGTGTCCAGAGTAACAGTTGTCAAACTGTTAAGAACAGATACTACACTTGATCTAAGCCATATGGCCAGAAGAGTGGGGAAAGGAGAGAAAGAAAGATCAAATCGTCCTTCGAGAAGTATTTATACGCGTCCCGAACAATGGTGTTCATGCGAACCACTGCATGTGGAGGCGCGACCAAGATCAACATTTCGTTCCGCCGAGCCGGCCGACATCCAAGCTTTCGTCATGCCACATGCAACCCTGAGTACTCAAGACCAACACCGACAGATATGAAACCCACTCTCTCTTCGCCATTGCGCAGTACGTCCGGTACATGCCACGTCTCAACTTGAAGATGTTTCTCACAACTTTTTCCATCTTTGGAAGCATTCTATCGACACCTTCGAGCAAATTCAGCGGACCAGCGCCTATGTTCCTTGTGGCCCTGCTCCGTCGCAGTTCGACGAAGGGTGAAGGCGGTGCCGCCGGATCCAGGGAAGGCGTTAAAGCGAGGGTATGAGGATGGCATTTCTTGGACTTACTCGAATGGAGGAGCAGGTTTTCTTAGTTACACATTCCCTACATGTACTCATGTTCTGTAAATTGCTCCTGGAAACCATTCGCGAGACCCGTGGTCATCAGCGCATCAGCATATGTCGGTTCTGTGCCAGTACTCTGGCGGCTCGCCTCGGCAGATATAGTCACATTGCTCGCCGACGCGGAACTAGAGCAGTCTGAAAAGCACATTCTTGCTGTTCGAGTGCCTCTACAATGCTGGATGCTTGGTTGCCTTGAGTGTGGATCAGGATCAGCTATGGCAATACATGGACCTTCCTGCTACCCTGTCTGCACAGTCTGACTCGCTTCGCTGCCAGACTGTAGCAGGATCGGCGGTGGTGCATCACCCATGATGGTTGGAGCTGGAAAAAGCTGGCGCAGATCCCGGAGTGGGCAGCGCAGAGTTCGAGGGCGGTACGTTTGGTGTCGTCTCTGCAGAATTTCCATCAGCGACGTTGATTTGAATACGGAGCCTTGAATTGGCGGAGCAAATTATTTGGGCGTGGGGGTTTCTTGGATTGTCTGCGCGGTCCCGATCTCTAAATGCATCTTCTTCTTCTTTGGTGCGATATGGAGCTTGCTGGCCAACGCCATGGCCTGAGCATTCGGAATGCGGTCAAAGTTGCTTTGTATCTCCCGTGGTAGGTCTCGTGGTGAGTTAGCCGCAGCCCCAGCTGCGGCGACTTTCGGCACGCTTGCTTGACCCGTGTCGTCCACTTTGCCACCGCCAGGCTTGCTGGATTTCGGGTCTCTCCACCTGCTCACGCTCTCGGATACGAAACCCGAAAGCAAAATGTACTGCATGCTCCCCCATTCGATAATCTTCTTCTCCAGCCACTTGTGGTCGACCGGCTTGTTGAGGAAATCGTTGCAACCTGCTGCAAGCGCGGCGACACGATCCGAGTTGAAGGAAGAGGCTGTGAGCGCGACGATGATCACCGAAGCGCGGAATGGCGATGGCATTGGCACACGGGACGCTTCTGCGGATCCGGGCACTGAGAGCAAGCCGGAGCTCGTGCTGGCATAGCTACTGCCGATCTTGCCTCTACTCTCGCTCAGCCCTACTGACTGAGGCGAAGAAGGGGGCGGCGTGCCAGGGAAGATGCCAATGTTGGCATGACGTTCCAGCCGTCGGATCTCCTTGGTTGCCTGAATACCATCCAAAACAGGCAATTGAATGTCCATCTACCCCATTTTTAGAGATCGTCAGCCTCAAAAGCCGTGCAATAGCGTTTGCACTGCACTCACAAAGATAATGTGAAATCCGCCATTGCGCCATTTGTCGATCGCCTCTCTGCCATTGTTTGCAACCTCGTACTGGATATTCTTCCTACTCATGAACCGCGTCAGAATGCGAATGTTGATGGCATTATCTGTATTCGGGAGAAGTGGTCCAATCAGGAAAAGATCCTCCGTGGGGAAATACATCTGCATTCCTCACCTTCGACAATTAGCACCTTGATAGGAGGCAAAATTGCTTCCCTCACAGGGGCCCTCTTAGGTCCTGTGCCACGACGTTGTGTTTGAGAAAAGCCAGCGCCGATGAGAAGACCGGCTTGTGGTTGAGCACTCGGCCGTGCGGCTCCTGCCGAAGGCTGCTGAACCATCGCGAACGACTGCCGCGCTTGCGCCAGAGAGTTCTTTGTACCTTTCAGCTTTGACGGGGAACGCCCCATGGGAGCATCATGCAGGGTACTAGGAGTCTTTGCTGCAGCGTTGAGATCAAAGCCGCGAAGAGGATGCGCTGGCAACGCGGTGGTGCTTTGAGGATTAGCCCGCTGGAATCCTAGCGCACCATGAAGATTCGCCTGGCCAGATACCGCGCGATCGGCTGCTCCTCCTAAGATCGCCTGAACCTGCTTCTTGTGCATTCGATCGGGATCAGAACCCAGTGAAGGTGTCATCGCAGGAGATTGTGCTGCCGCGGCAGCGACCTGCGGCGCAACATCTGCAATGTGCTGCGGCAGAGGCCCCACAACCGGCGGTGCACTGCCATTCAGCACGCTCTCGATACCAACTTGTGGTGTGAGCAGAGTCGAGATCGACGGGCTATTGGGTACGGCAGAAGTATTTGAGCCAGGGCGCAGGTTCCTCTGGCTTTGTCTGGGCGACTGATCCGTGGCTGCTAATCCCCCTTTCCGTAAAGATGAGCTGAGACTGCGGTGAACCATACCTGGCCCTGCACTTGCTCCTTCGGTTTGCGAGTCTGCTGCACCTCCGCCACTACTTGCACCAGCGCCAACGGCTGTACCAGCGCTAGGGTCCTCCCTGATCGTGCTGCCCGCGTTACCCTTGGCTGAAGACGAGCTGCGAATACTGTTCGATTTGGGACGGAAGTAGATCCCTGCCGGCCGGCCGTCGGGGGATTGCACGACCAAGCCTCTTGCAGCACCGTCGCCCAGTCTGAAAGCCGCTTCACCAAAATACTCAAGTGCATCGACTGACATGGGACTGCTAGGCCTGCTGGACGATACTCCCGTTGTACTTCGGTGAGACCTGGCGGATGCGGATGCAGTATCAGATGAATCATGAGCGCTGTCGATTCTGTTCGCCTTAAGAAGCCCCTGGTTGCTCGATTTGGGTGTGGTCGATTTCTCTGGCTCCATGCGCGCGTCCGCAGGCGGTAAATCGCTCAAGCGTAGAGAGTACCGATTTTCCTTGGTTGACGACGGCGAATGCGGCAGAGCCTCGGCATGAGGGCTTTGCAACGGTGGCTTCGTCGAAGCAGATCGAAGCAGCACTTGATCTGGGTGACTGGCTTGCGGCAACAGCGGAAGTGTCGGCGTGACCGGATTCACCAAGCGGGGCAATACATTCTGCCCGCTTGTTTCTGCATTGGCAGCGTCAGCGGTGGAGGAACCACCTGCAGAGAAATCAAAGGGTCGATTGTAGCTCGCGAACAACGCTGGCGACTTGGGCGAGGTAGCAATGGGGTGGAAGAAAGGGTCTATGAGTGGTTTATGCAGGGCTGTATGCAGTGTGGTCAGCAGCCGTCTCATTCCCGCTGGCTTGGGAACGACGATGATCGCCGGCAAAGAGATGCCGGTACCAGCCACCAAGCTCTCTGAGATGGGACACACGACATCCCGCACCATTCGGAAGTTGGCCAGACTGGTAAAGTAGATAATTGTCGTGGTGCATTCCTGCAGCTCTGTGCCGGACCTGCTGTCCGAGGCAATGGGACTGGTCGGTCTGCTCGGTGCAGCGGTATAGGCACTTCTGCTCGGCGCCCCGACTTCCGCATCTAGGACGCGCTGGACTTGGGGGCTGGACCGAGGACGAGGCGGGAAGGCAGGCCGGCCCATTTGTTCAGGCGACGAAGGAACGCTGGCGCCGAGCGAGCCTTGAAGGTGGAGGGCCGATTGCAGCAGGGGAACGGCTGAGAGAATGCGCAGGAGCTCCACTTGAAGCGTTCGAATGTCGTCATCGATCATGAGAAAGGTAAATGGTTCGATGCGCTGTGGCCCGCCAGTGCTTGCGCTGCACTCGGGTTCCGCAGAAGAGGTTGCAGTGGAACTCGTGGCAGGCCCAACGAGCGGCGCCGGCTCGCCAGTGATGGGGTTGAGCACAGCCGCTGATTGTGAAGTAGCTAGTCCTGCTTCGACGGATGTGTTGGCAGGATTGCCCGCTCGGGGAACGGACAAATCGCTCGGATAATTAACCAGCACGGGTTTGCCATCCGACAATGCGACCGCCGTGCGCGGTGCATGCCCCAACGACGATGGCTGCTGTTTTGGCTCTTGCGTGTGCGAAGGAGGAGATTGAAATGCAGCTGATTGCCAATACTCCCTCCCAAGCTGCCCACCCACATCCTCATCTTGCAGCGGAAGCCTCGCGACGTCCATATCGCACAGCGCTAGGAACATTCCGACTTGCTCGGCGAATGCGCTATCGTGCCTGGCGCGTACAGCCACTTTTTTTCCATGTAACTCTTGCGTTGCAAGCGTTTCCAGCTCCTTGAAGGAAGGCTCCCGGCCGAGTGTGATGCTCGGCAAAAAGCGCTGCCGTCCCGCTCGATCCGCTTCCTCCAGTTCAGCTGCTTCGACTAGCTTGGCGCCCGAGCGGAGCAGCGCACTTAGGAAGTACGTCACTCGCAATCCTGCAGGTTTTGTCGGCTGTGCCTCCATTGCCTCGTGGCCCGCGAATGCAGCATCCTTGGTGACGCGGCCGCTCCGCAACTCGATGCCAGCTCGTGCGAGTACAGATTGACACACCAAATTCCCGCTGTTTCCCAGGTCGATATGGTCGATCTGACAGTCGGAATAAAGTGCAGCCTCAATCGTGCAGCGTAGTGTTCCAGCATCGGCGGCTGCCGCTGGCTGGGTCCGCGTGTATACCTCTAGCTTCGACCCAAAAGGTGCGATGTGAAGCACGCGAGAGAAAAACTACAGAATCACAAGATGGGTCAGTCCTTGTCCTGCAACAATGCTTATTGTTTTGCGCGTCCACTCACATGTATGACGCCAAAGCGCAGAGCACCTTCGTCTCCAAGGACGCTGCATCCGGTTGGCATTCTTCTGCGCTTTTCTCGTGCCGGATCCGTCGCTGCATTGCCTCCAGCGACCTGTAACTGGGGGTGCCCATAGTTACCCTCATCGTCGTTGATGAGCTGAATGATGAGCTGAATCTTCTTGCCGGCAGCCTGACCTGACACAACATCCGCGGCGCGCTGGACCAGCTCATTGATGTCGAAAGTGGTGCTGCGTCCATCCGGCGGCGACACACCTGAAGCTGGCGCTTGAAAGACAGCATTTGGTGCGGCAGCCCCGCCGGGCGAAGAATTAGAAGGTACATGCGTTTCTGGCGAAGTTGATCGTTCCTGCCCTTCGAGCAAGCGGGGCACCGCACCCGCTCCGACAGCACCTGACGCGCAGAGCCAATTGACAGCCTTGAACGTTTCCAGAAGCGCCTCCACACTCGTAACGGGCAGATGCAAGCCCGTGCAGCTGAATCTTTCATGGCTAGGGTCGAGCAGATGTGGAGGGATCAGCTGCAGGAGTGTTGCGATCGGTAACTGTAGATATTCGGCGACAGTTTCGGCGATTGCTGATGATTGTGTGTCGTGACTGGTCCGCACAACGTCGCCTTGGGCAGGTCCTGCATATACCGCCGAAATCTGTTCCCCAATCTGGTTTCTGAGAACAGGCGCAGCGTTGGTTGCTGTACTGAGCGCATGGTCAGCGACACAATTTGTTCCAGCTTGCTGTATGCTGCCTTCCCAATATGCTGCGTCGCTTGGCGGCCGCAGATCTCCCAACCTGCTGTACGGCGGCGCGCTGAATGTCCGGTCCGGAACAGGTCTCGCTGCTGCAGAGGACGAAGGTTGGAGAAGTAGTGCTTTTGCCGATTGAAAAACAGCATCATGGGGAGCGGCAGGTACAGCGCCAGGCCGTATACGGCTTGCGCCGACCGGGCTGAGGTCGAGCATTTCGACAAGCTGGCTTTGGCTCAACCACTGCACAGCGCTGCTTGCTCTAGCGTGATCGCGGCCGTTGCAGCAGGCCTTTGAGCGTTCGCGCTTTCGACACGACAGCAAAGCTGGCCGATCAGCGAGAAGAGCCCATCGTTGTACCTTCAGCGTCCACCTTGTCCATCCGATGTCCTGTCCAATATGTATTGTCCTCGCAACATGGTCTCACCATGGCATCATCGCCACTATGCTGAGTTTAATGGACACTGCGCGGCTATCGGTGACTTTTCACGTCGGCGACTTTTCTGAAGGCACGCGCCGAAAGACAGGAGCTGAGGTTGTAAAAGTATTACCCCAACCGTCCGGATATCGAAGTGCAAGCTAGGTAAAGACGTATCAAAACAATGTCACCCTGCGTAACTCGCCATTCGCCAATTACGATTCCTTGCGCACTCTAATTTGTGTGTGTCTGCACATGTACAAATCAGCGGAGCTCCTCCCGTTCCTCGCGGCTCCGGGCGTGGGTGTGAGCCGGTTCACACCACTTTTCTAAACCCACTCCTCCCTACTCATTTGCGCACATCACGCATTCAGCAGAGACAAGTACCTTGTCTCGCTCTTGACAGCCTCGAGCGCCTGGCTCACCTCGAGCCTGTTGCGCGCTGCACGGAGCCAATCCTGCGCGAGGATCTTGCCCCAGCCCTGCAGCTGATTCACTTCCCTTGCCGCGCCGTCGAGGTCTTCGCGCTGGAGTAGGTACTCTGCACGCGCGAGGATGCTGGGCACGTCCTGCTGCTGCTTCTCGCCAATCACCGGCGCGGATCCAGAAGAGGCCGATGCGCGCTTCTTGAAGAGGAGTGGGGCGAGCAGCGCGCTGGTCGCATGCGCGAGCACGCCCGCGTTCTCAGGCAAGAGGGCCGTGCGTAGGACAGCCGGACTGACCTTGTCCTGGAACCACGTGGAGAGTGTGATAAACGAATCCACTCCCTCGTCCGGGATGGGAGATTGGTCAAGGTATGACAGTACGCTGGAGATGATTGGGCTGTCCGTCGCCGAAGCGTTGGCCTTGAGACGACGTAATGAGTCGCGGAAGGGCTGCTTGCCAGCAAGGAGGATGGCCTCGTCTTCTCCGCCGTCGTCTGATGCACAACCGTCCTGCACAAGCCCAGGACTATTGATAACGGTTTGCAGCGCCCTGATGCTGGCCATAAGCGTGTTCAGCCTGCTGCTGCTCTCCATCTCCTTCCCGTTCTCCCGCGTGACGTTCTCCAGATGCTTCACCTGCGTTGCGAGCTCGGCGAGCCTGGCTAGGCGCCCGCCGCGCTCCTGCTCAACGCGCGCTTTGATGTCTCGCATCCACCTGCGCTGTAGCTCGATCCCTTGTGCGATGACCTCCTCGCGCAGGCGCTCGTTGATTAGCTCGCTCTGCGTTGCAAGCTCCGCCTGCAACTTGGTCTGGTACTCCTTGACCTGCTTGGTGCTCTCCACCTCAAAGTTCTTGTGCCACTCCTCGTCCTTCTTGGTCAGGTCCTGGTTCGCGCGTTCCGAGGCGCGCGACAGCTCCGCCTCGTACTTGGATTGCTGCTGCTTGAGCGCGGCATCCACGCGCGCCGCCTCCTGCTCCTTAATGGCATCGAGGCGGTCGGTGAGCTTCTCCAAGTCCGCACGTGCGAGGTTCAGCACCTCTTTCGCCTGGAAGCTGCTTGTGGCCGGTGCATCCTTGATGAACTGCGCTAGGTCGTCGATTGTCGATGCAAGTTGTGCGATCACGGGTTCTGACGATGAGCTGGCAAGCTTGGAGATCGCAGGCGCCAGCAGAGGCAGCTGTGGGGCACCAGGATCAGGACGCAGAGCGGCCTTGCTCTCGTTGGAGGCGGACAGAGGTCGGTCGGAGCGAGGTGCGATATAGCCGGCAGGCGGCTCGTGCTGCAACGGCAAAGGCTCAGACCAGGGTTTCGTTGGAGCGGCAACTTGGTCAGATGACTTTCCGCCGGTCAAGTTACCGATCGGCTTTGGGTTCCCTTCTTCAGTATTGGGCTGGTTTCCAAAGAAGACCTTGACACCACCTGCAAGCCCGCGGGTCTCTCTGAGTGCACCAGCTTTGGCGTCCTTCGCGCCGCCGACGAGCTCTTGCGCCTTTGCGCGCACCTCATCCTCTGCACGCTGAGCAGCCTGTTTGGCCTGCTCGACAAGCTGTTCAGAGCGCTGCTTGGCAGACTGGTATAGCTCCTGTCCTTTTTCCTGTGCGTCTTTGCTCGCGCTCTGCACCTCCAGCTTGGCTTTGCGAGCTTCGCGTGCGGCCTTGTCCCTAGCCTCTGCAAGCAAAGTGCGAACGTCCTTTTCGCCTTGCCCACCCGTACTGCTGCTGTCGCCGCTGAACGTGCGCGAGGCAGCGCCAGAGAGTGAGCTGTATACCGCCTTGCCGATCGATGCAGCCTTGCCGGCGGCTTCGGTGACAGAGACATCCTCCAGGTCGTATTGGTCCACAAAGTCCATGATCTTCTCGCCCAAAGGCACGGACTCGGTGAAAAAGCCGGCATAGCGATCAGAGCGCGTTGCAAGCGCCACGGAGCCGCCGTAGAAGAAGAGTGTGCTGAATGTTGCATACAAGAGGAAGCGACGTCCAAAGGAGCGTCTGCGAGTTGTGGGCTCGCCACCGGTGTAGTTCTGAAGGAATGAGGCCCAAGCAAAGGTACACAAGGCAGCGGTTAGCCAACAAGCAATGTATGCTATCCCTTTTCTCCCTATGATGGGTCCTCACCACTGCACTTACACCGGTCCTGGACGGCGGAATGTCGCTGGCGTGGCGGCGGATGGTCATGGACGCATACCGGTAGCTGGCCGAGGCGGGCCGCCGGGGTGCTCCGACCCTTGCGGCCGAGTGGGCGCTGAGCGTTGCCGCGCGATTCATCGTGCACCGAGGCGTGCGAGCGGGAGCGCGTCAGCTGTCGCTCCTGTGGTTTTTGTGATGGACACAAAGCCAAGCTCCGTTCCTTTCGTCCCATCGACCAAGAGGAGAGCTGTGAGGCATGGAGGGAGCCAAAAGCAGCATGGGGCCAATGAGCCATCGTAAGTTTGCTGGATGATGTGAGTGACGCTTCTCGCTCTCGCTCGCCCGTCGGATCGATCGGAAGACAAAGTTGCACCGAATTCATACCATTCATTCTTTAACAATAAAAGAAAGAATACTTAAGCATTCCGCCCAAATTTCCATTTCTTAATGCGACGAACGAAGCATACCTCGATTTTTGGAGGGGGAGGACGATCACCTTTGCATAAGTCTGACATGAAGCTTTGGGAGCAACACAAGCACCGAACAGCTCTGCAGTGCCATCCTTACGCACCCCTCGTTAGAATCCCACTCAAATTCAGAGTTGCCTACGGCAGTATCTGCAGGCGGTCGTGTGTGTGAGCCTCGTTGCTGCAAGATGGCTTCTTCGTCCTCCTCGGCATTCACAGCGAGCGGTTGCCCAGCTGCGCGCGAAGCCATCCTGGTATCGACCACCTCGACGCCGGCGCAGCCCTCATCGCTGCTTTTGCTCGATGTGCAGCTTCCGAATATGACGAATCCGCTGATCTCTTTCAGACTGCAGCAACCCCACTCCATCGGGCAAGAGAAGCTCGACTTTGTCCCGACGGCAGCTGGAGCTGCAGCGCTGCACAATGCGACCGGCAGCGGCGGTGGCAACTCCGCAGGGGATGCAGGAGGGTACGTCGTGACGCAAGCAGAAAACTCGTCCGTCTTGACGACTCACAACTTCCAGTCGCCACAACTGCTCGCGAGGATCATCCTGCCACAGCGGATGACATGCCTCCAGCTCAACGCTCGCTTTCACCTGCTTGCCGCTGGTCTGTCCGATGGGCGAATCTCCGTATGGGACATCAAGACGGGAGAGCTGATCGCAAACGGATTCGATGCGCACTACCGTCCGGTCAGTGTTCTGCGATGGACGAGTGACGGGTCGGCTCTGCTCAGCGGCGGTGAGGATGGCCGAATCTGCGTTTGGACACTTGCAGCGATTCTCGATCCTCTGCAATCCCACTCTTCCTCATCCTCGTCTGTCGGCACGGGAGCATATTCTGCGCGCTCCAACACCCAGCCGATTCCTTACGCCCTTTTCACGGACCATACACTCTCCATCACCTCCTTGTGTCTCAGCACCGGCACTTTCCCCTCCGAAGCGACGCTCTGGTCAGCTAGCCTGGACGGAAGCGTCAAGCACTGGTCGCTGCGCACACGCACACTACTCAGTACGTTCATCCTGCCGCGTCCAGTCGCGCAGCTACAGCTCGACGCGAGCAATCGATTCTTCCTCGCAAGCACCGTGCCGCCTCACGCAACATCGACGCAAGCTGGCGACGGCGCCGACCACAGCAAGGCGAGTACCATAGGAAGCAATACCCTCTTCAAGGTAGATCTATTCCGCCGCGCCAAAGTCAGCTCCGCTGCTGCAACCGGGAAAGCAGGCTGGGGGTCCACAAAGGGCAAGACTTCAAACAGAACCGGAGTAGCCAATACTTCGACCGCGCTAGCATTCGAGGCGCGGGGGGGACACGCACCCTCGGAGGTCGAGCGGATCAGCGCGGAGAACGGCATGGACAAAAGAACCGATGAGGCTGGCTCGATATCCCGTCTTCCATTCTCGGAAGCGATCACGTCGCTCTGCTTATCGCTCTCTTCGACTGTCGCGCTTGTCGGCACTGCTTCCGCGCGTATCCACTTCGTCGACTTGTCCAGCTTCCAGATCTTACGCAGCATCAGCTTGCTCGCCACACTGTCTTCATCGAGCAATACATCAGTAGCTGCAGCAGGGCAATCGAGCAGTCGCGCCGCGTCTCCGGTCATCTCCAACATCCGCAGCATGCTCACTCCGCCGGATCTGCTCAGCAGCCTCACCGGTTCCTCTTCCTTTGCATCCACAAACGGCTCGGGCGCACCGAGCAGCATCATCTCGCCATTGCAGCAGTCTGTTGAGGCGTCGCTGCGGGCTGCCAACAGGACTCGACGGTACATTCCTGCGCCGATCCTCGCTTCACAGTTCGACCGTATCACTCGCCGGGCCGCTGCGGAGCAGCAGCGCCCACAGCAGCAGTCACAGGCGAAGCAGTTCTCGAGCGCCGATACAGGTGCTTGTCAAGGTGGAGCACTGGCGCCTGCTGCTAGTGGCGGCACTCGGCCGGCTACTACTGCAGCTAGTGGTCCCAACCCAACTCGAGTGGCGCACGTGTACGCTGGTCGGCCCGTTCGCCTCGTCGCCAACGTTTCGGAGGCACAAGGCGAACAAGACTTGCTGACGCGTTTCATCTCGCCTAGTTTCTTTGAAGGGCTGTTGAAGCCCCTCGGCCCCGCGGACGCTTACGCCTCACCCTCGCCATCCCCAGCCCTCTCTACCGGTCAAACATTGGCTTTTGCGCACAACGGGCCCGCTGTGGAGGACATGATCAGCCTCGATCAACCTGACGCGACGCTGCAAAGCAAGAAGCGCAAAGGCGGGGCGGACGAAACCAATGAAGAACGCCCCACCCGCTCTGATGCCCACAAACCAGGCATCGACCCTTCGCACGGCCGATGTCATGCGGGTGATCACGTTCTACGCGCTGAAAATGCGGAGTTAAAGAGCCTGGTGGCCCAGGCGAAGGCTCTCAACGATGAAATGTGGAAGAAACTCCAGGAACTCGAGCAGGTGAACGGAGCGAGAGATCAAGCGGGAGATGTGCAAATGAGCAATGTGCAACGATGACCGTGGCGACGATCGTCGTTTGCTACCAAGTGTATGCTACATGTATCAAATCCATCGTGCTGCATCTCACTGGAATGCGATCAAAGGCCCCCAGCTGCGCCAGACGCAATCCATGACCGCTCTCCTGCTGTTCCATGCCAGGCCTACATCAGCGACAAACTGTGGGCCGTCAGCCGTCGCCTGTAAACCTTCCAGCTCGCGGATGTCTTGGAGGAATTGCTGGTGCAACTTCTTGCGTGTCCCCCTTTTTCTGCTAACCGCCACGCTCGCCACGAGCGGCTCGGCGACCAATCGCAGCAACGCCAAATCGAGCAGCAGCAGTCCTTGCGTCTTGGCGTCCAGCTCGCCTCCTTCTTTACCAGCAGGAGCAGCCAGCAGCTTGTCGACACGTCGCAGTGCCTCCCATGCGCGAATCTTGACATCATAACCAGCCGCGCGGCCCTGACGGTTGGAGGCCTGACTGAGTCTGTTCTTGAACCAGGAAACAGTTACGTAGAGGATGCCCATCGCTGGAGCGATGCCGACAGCGCCAAAGAGTAGCTGTTGGCTCTTCAGAAGGCTGTCGATGCCCGACATGGCGACTTCTAGGTCGACTTTGGCCTTCTGAATCTGGATCAGAAGCGTTCTGATCAGAGAGCCAGTCACGGCGGACTTTAGCGGCGACTGCAGAAGAAGGAAAGCAATAGTCAACCATTGTGCCAAATGGCATTACCGGAACGATCGGCTGACCTTGAGCTCTGCCTCATATATCCGTAGGACATGGGTCAGGTCGCCCTCCTTGACCTTTGCCGCAACCTGCTCGAGCTCTTGTAAGCTCAAAGAGTACTTTTCGGCGCTGAAATCTGTGACCATCCTCTCTAGACTCTGCAAGTCGGAGTTAAGGCTTTCCTTGCTGATGATGACGCCGTCCGCGGCCTCACCGTGCCGAATGGTATCAAGCAAACGCACAACAGGCTCGTAAACCCAGCCGACGAGAAAGCCGCGAATCGTTTCCTTGGCATTGCGAACAGACCCGAGGATGGCATCTTTGTTTCGTGTGAACGCTTTGAGGAGTATCAGACTGACTGTTGGGACAAAGACGAATGACAGCCACAGACGTGCGAGTGTTGATGGCGGGCCAAGTCCGAACGGTGCGGGCTTTAACATGGTACTGTAGACGGCTGAAGGGTCGTGTTGTGCCAGTCGCGATGCAAGAATATCCTGAAGCTGTTCGATTGGATTCTGGCTGGAGCTTGCGTAGGAATCACACCCAGAGACAACCGCGCCGAGCGTGGCCGTGAGCTCCACGACGTGTTTGAAAGCTTCTTCTGGGGTTTTCAAGGCCTCGCCCAGGGTAGAGGACTGCTGTTGCCGCATTTTGATTGAAAGCTCCCCAATCTTTGTCGCCAACTTGTCGCGCTCGTTGACAAGACGCTTACGTTTGTGTCGTGCTTCATGTCGCGTGAGTCGTACCGGAGAGAGCGCACTGGGTCGCAACAAGCTAAAGTTTAGCTTGGGCTGTTTGGACAGGTCGTTATCCACAGACTGGCGGGTGCATGGGAACATTGAAGCAACCGCGAAAGTAGGGCTTGTTCTGACTAGGGACCATGCTTCAGCGAACGTCCTGCCGTCGAGCAGCGATCTGAGCCCTGCTGCTGGTCGGTCTGCTGTAACGGTACTTAGTGTCTGACTCGCATTGTCGTACACCAGCTTGCTCGCATTTTCGGCCAGAGCAAAAAGTCTACCGGGAAGTGCTGTATCCGATGCATGTTTTGTCAGTCATAAGCCGGTACTCTGTAACCTGAGATAGAGAGACGTACTCTGTAGGAAGTAACGAGACGTCTGGAGGAGTTCATCTTCGATGTCGGACCAGAACCACTCCTGGTCTCCGAGTATCTCGGCTTTCTTCAGAAGAGCATCCAGAGAAACCGCATATGCGAGGTAGGTGATCCGTAAGAGTGCTTGCGCTTCTTGTTCTGCCCGTACTGAGCCAACAATATGAGACTTGAGCGCCTCGGCACTCCCAGCACTGATGAGCCTTGTCTGCGTTGCCAAGCTGTCAAGAATTTTGAGTAAGGAGCTTCGGCTGGGAAGCTTGGTTAGATGGGCAAGGTCCAGGTCATCGGCCAGCTCGATCTTGAGAGCTTCGTCGCCCTTTTGGTCAGCCTTTTCTGGGACTTTTGGAGATTGCACACGGGTTGAAAGAGGTTGGCTGTCGTCGATACGGACCCCGATGTTCCGGACAAAGTCCACCGCGAACGATGAATTATCGCTCATGACTATCAACCGCCGGGTCTTTCATCGGTTGACCGCACGAAGGTAGCTGCTAATGTAGTGTGATTTCCAGCAGGACAGAATGTTATTTATTTATTTACAAGCGATCAATGAAAGGGAAAGATGGAGAGTGTGGTTCATGAGCGAGACGTCATGGAACTCTGACATTTTGCATTGAAGCTTGTGAATGACAACATCGTCATGTCGGCACTCGGCAGTCGGCACAGATGCGGGACCATACCAAGGAGCAACTAGTCTCCACGCGCGGTTCCCTGCTTCATATTGAACACGACTCAGATCTGTGATCACAGCGCTCGGTGAGAGGCCATGCAGCAGGGACATCCTGATCGAACGTGCGACATACGAGAACAGGCAGCACAGGCACTTTGGCGCAGCTTTAGAGATGGCTTGCAGCGGCGCATTGGAATCAGGGTAGATACATGCGCAAGTTTGAGACCTAGGCCGCCCGGGCGAGCTTGGGAGGAAGAGGCGGAGGCGGCAGTGCCATGAGCTTGACTCCGGCCCTTTGAGTGTGCACGATGGGAGCGCCAGACAGCTCTGCGTCATCTTCCTCCTCGATGCCCCAAGGGTTATTGGCAACCTTTGGATCGTAGATCGAAGGTTGGTGCTGCGGCCTACGGACGATACTTCCCTTGCGGCCAAATGTAACCTTGGCACTGGGATCGAAGATGAAGCTGCTGCGACTCGGCGCAAGCGTGGACAGCATGACCTTGAAAGTGCCTCCATCTCCGTCAGCGATACTCATGACAGTTCCCTGCGACTCGCTGGCGCTCAGCAGCGTGCCGTTTACGATGCCGGAGCCATAGTCGGCGGGCTCAGGAGCATCGGGCGCAGCCCTGCTGTCTGTCGATCTCCTGAGTGGTGGGGAGGCAGAACCCGATTGGGTGGCCCATGGCTTTGGTCGCTGCACCTGCTTGACATCTATCGTTTCACTTGCGCTAGTTGGTTTGAAGGCTGCGGGGAAAGATGGCACAGCAGCGGCACCAGTCAAGAGACCCGAGTCACCCCAATCAAAGTTGAAGCCTCCAAAATCGAGCGACGGAAGGGCGAGCGTTGGCTCTGTCTCGGGACTGCGTGCCCGCTGCTTGCCTTCGTGTGCGCCGGATGGCAGGTTCACTTCAGTACCCGAGTCGGAATCTGAGTCGAGCCACTTATCCAGCGGCTCATCATTAATCGTCTTTTTCCCGTCCTTCTCAGCGCGCGTTTCTTCAATATGCTCCTGCCCTGCCCGCTCTGTTGTTGGCGCTGGTTTGGGCGGAGGTTGTGGTGGCGGTGGCTCCGAAGACGCTGACGCTTCTGACGGTATAGGAGGAGGTACAGGTGGAGTCTGAGGCAGCGACATGCGCTGCAGAACGATCGAGGTAGGGACCGGCGGGCTCGTTGTTGTGGGCCCAGGGGCCGCTGGGGGACGAATAGGAGGGAGCGGCCGCTTTGACCCTACGGGCATGGATTCAGCATTGCCGGGTTGAGAGCCGGAAGGGCCCGCGAAAGCGCTGGCGCCGCTTTCGGATGCATCCCTCGCAGCGTAATACAAGCGAAGCTGTTCTTTCTCGTACTCTGCCGAGGAGAAGCCTGAAGATCCCGTTGCGGGTGGCGGCGGGATCAGGCTGGGTCGCGAAGTTGCCAGTGCTGACATGGACACGGGGGACACTGCTGGCTGCTGAGCAGTCCACGAGACTGCAGGTGCAGGTGCATAGCTCGACTGAGACATAGGTCCAGCTGGCGCCTGCCCAGGCGTCGTCTGCGGCTTGGATTGAGCAGCAGCGAGTTGAGCATCAAGTGCAGCATAGTGTCGTTTGAGCTTTTCCTTTTCAGACAAATCATCGTGCGAGAGAGCATGTGGCGGGGCGATGGATCCAGCATTCGGCGCAGTGGTCGCAGCTGGCGCCGCGTTGGCTACGACAGTCGACACTGGCGAAGCGGCGTTGCCGACGCCGGCTGCTGCGTCCAGTGCAGCATAATGCTGCTTGAGCCTCTCCTTTTCCGATATGGGAGGGTTGGCGAGAGCCAGGCCACCAGCGGAGCCAGGTCGCAGCGCCGAAGGTACTGCAGGTACAGATGGGACGGCTGTCCTATCTTGCTGCTGCGTGCCAGATATGTCCCCAGCAGAGTCCTCGAGGTCCTCATCCTTGATCGTGTTGGCATACTCGGGGACCGGTGCGCTTTCGTACTTGGAATACTTTTGCGTCCACGATCTCTGCAAGTTAGCTCCGGCGCCGGCCTGGTGCTGTGCGACAGCTTCACGAGCCTCGAGGAAGCGCTTGATCTGCGCCTTTTCGTCTTCAGCACTCATGAACTGTAGCGACGGATCGAAGGTGGAAGACGAGGCTGTCGCTTGGCTGGACGATGCATTACCACCAGCATTTCCACTCCCGGATGCGCCGGCTTGGTAGTGACCTTGTGAGGCACTTTCAGCTTTGCCTTCGAGCGCTGTACGGTATGCGGTCTGATAGCCTGCCGCCTGCGCTTGAGCATGGTGATAGAGCCTCTCCTTTTCATTCTTACTGTCACTCCAGTCAATGCCACCCACGGTCATCTGGTTGCTGCTGTTGCTCGCGCTGGCACCATAAAATGGCATCTGTGCCTGCAATGAGCTGTTTGGGAAGGCGTGGCTGGATGATGACAATGCAAAGGGGCCGGGCCCCGGGGCCAGGGCCGCACCCCCGCCGGCGCCTTGCGAGCGCATGCTTGCCGCAGCGCTGGAGCTTCCTTCTCCGGACGCTCCGCCTGCGATCTCATCTTCAAGCTCAGGGAGGTAGGCGCCGGTGTTGTTGCCAGAATGGTACTGCTGCGTCTCCTGGCGTGCCCTCTGGTACAGCCTCTCCTTTTCCTCGGAAGCAGACAGCCAGCCGCCATTACCTGCGGAAGGCGACGCCATCGTCGAGTGAGGTATGATTGAAGATGGTTCGGCGCTTGGCGCGACAGGAGGTGCCAAGGAAGCGGAGGCGTAACCGGATCCAGACCCAGATCCAGACCCAGATCCAGACCCAGATCCAGACCCAGATCCAGACCCAGATCCAGACCCAGATCCAGACCCAGATCCAGAGGCTGTTGCTGGCACGGGTGCTGCCGAGCTTTGTTCTGCCGCCGAGAGGTATGGATTGGCGGAGGCATTAGCCGAGGTCGAGGCGTTTATGGGCACGACGGGGGCCGCAAAAGGGGGGCCGTACGAGTTCTGCCTGCTCAGGGCTTGACTTTTAGGGAACTGTGCACCCTTGGTGAAGCCAGCCTGGTACTTCTCGGCCTGCTTGCGAGCCCTTTGCCAGAGGCTCAGTTTCTCCTGCTCGGCGGTCATCGGGCCGATCGCGGGGGGCAGCGCGCCGGGAGCGGACGGGCTACCACCAAAGTCAAGCGCCGCGGCGCTGGAGCTGCTGCCAAGCATGGCGACGCTATCGCGCATCTCGTTCGCTATTTGCTGGTTCTTCTCCACGATCTGTTGCGCGCGCTCGTAGAATGCGGTCTGTTCTTGCTCGGCCAACTTGGCCGCCGCCGCCGCCGCCGGCTGAATGGATCCCTGCGCCACCGCACCTGCGGGCCGGGCGGCCGGCACGTACTGTTGCGACTCAGGCGGAATGCTGCTGGACTCGGCCGTGCTCGGCCGGCCGATTTTGAGGTTACCGCTGATGCTGGTCTTGAGGACGACGAAACTGCTGCGGCTCTGCGAGTCCATGGATGAGCGTCTCACAATACTCGCTGCTGCTGCCGCTACGGCTTGGCCCCCGCCCGCGCGCGGCGGGTACGGCCCGCTGCCGCTTGGTGCGCTGTGCATGTGCTGCTGCTGTTCCGAGTTGGAGAGGCGGCGGAGGCGCTGGAAGATTTTGGACGACGCACTCTGCGAGGTGGTGTTGGTGTTGATGGATAGCTCAGGGCGCTTGAACGCCGAGAGGGAGGTCTTGCGCTCGCGTGGGTCGGGTCCGGCGCCGATGCCGCCGTCATTGCTAAGGCTGCGGTGGAAGTTGATTCCGCCGGTGCGTCCGAGCTCGTCCGGGTCGAGGCCGAGCATGGCAGCGCTGTTGGGGCGCTGGCTGGCGTGGAAGAGTGCGAGACGCTCGCCCGCATGCAGGTCCTCGTCCTGAGGGCTACTCAGCATGGCCGGCCGCGCGGCCGTCGCGTTTGGGTTCTCGAACACGCCGACGGGGACCGCAAAGCCATTGGGCGCCGTGACGACGTACGGGTGGGCACTGCCGAGCGCGCCCCAGCTGTGGATTTGCTGCGGGATGCCGCGACCGGCAAGTCCCGGCCCGCTGGAGGTGCTGGTCGAGATGCCCGTGATGGAAGAGAGCACGCTCATGGTACGAGAGATGGGGCCGTGGCGCGGCGCGGCGGACGCTGACGTCGAGCGCAACGGGCTGTGGGATGGTCTCCCACCCGGCGGGAACTGCTGAGACGGGTATCCTGCCCCTGCCCCCGCCCCTGCCCCTCCATCTGCTGCTGCGCTGGTACCGATGCCCGTAAAACCATCTGACAGCTGCCGCGACTGGTGCCTCAGGCCGAAGCCTTCGGAACCGGCGCTGTTGCCGACGCTGAAGGCATGCGTCGACTCGGATGGGTTGATGCTCGCGCCGCCGGATGTCGAGCCGCGGTCCCCTGGCTGAGTGGCCCCAGCGGCCGCCTGGCCCTGACCCCCGTTGATGCTACCGGCATACGGGCCCTGGCCGTATCCGCTGCCGCTCAAGTTGTCCACGTCGGACAGGCCGGCGACGTAGCCGATCTTCTCGAGAAGCACCTTGGATTCTTCGCGTGTGAAGGACGAGATGGTCATCGGAAGGTGGTCCAGCACGATGCTCCCCTTTTGCAGCTCAAGGCAGACGCGCATGCTGGGCATGCGGGGAGAGGAATTATGTTAGCTCAACAGACAGCTCTTGCGTGGAGGAGAGCGCTGAACCCACGTGTACGACACCTCGATGTGCTTTGCCGTGCTGATCGTCATGAGGCTGTAGTTCTTGGGAATCACAGCGGACAGGTCGAACATGTGCGAGTCGCCCTTGTAGATGCGCTTGCCCAGTGTCCGTCCCTTGCCGGTCAGCGTCTCGGCCCGCTGGCTGGCGCTCCTGGCGGTGTTGAGCCCCCATACGGCTGCACCGCGACCGCCGTGCGCGCCAGTGCTGGCGCCGCCTCTCCCTGCAGACCCACGGGAGGTGCCGCCTTTGAAGGTGACAGTCTCCTTGATGCTGAAGCTGATGCTTTTGAGCTTATGCGGCTGCGGGTTGTTGGACAGCACGACGATGCGCACATTGACGGCGTCGCCTGGGCCGTAGCATGTCTGCTGGCGGAAGACCTTCATCTTGATCTCGTCCTCGGCCGTCTCGTGGTCGTCAGCGCAATGGTACATGGGCCATAGGCTATGCAGCTCGTGCTTCTCCAGGACGATCGGGTACGTCGACTGAATGATGCTGCTGACGCTCTCCTTGCGTAGGATGCCCTTCTTGGTTTTGATACACAGCGAGGCGACGAGCTCGTATGCGATCTCGCAAGCCTTGTCCACCTTGGCCGAGGGGGGGAGGCCCTCGGGGATCTGCACGCGAAAGGGGAAGTCGGCATTCTGGAGAAGCTCCCAGCCTTCCTCGTCGCCTTCGTTCAAGTCCAACGGATGCTGGCCAGCACTCCCGCCTCCTCCTCCGAGCAAGCTGCCGAAGCGGCGATGTGACTTTTCGCTCAACGAAGGACTTGCGGTGATGGAAGGCCGTGCGCTGGCGCTAGCGCTAGCGCTGCCACCGCTTCCGCGCGCCATCCAGACGTCGATCGGGCCGCGCCCGATGAGTTCGCCCCAGTACTCACCGCCGGGGACGCTCTCGAGCTTGCGCAGCTCGATGCGTAGCCACGATGCTTTGAGGCCTTTGTGCCCGAGGCGCACCTCGACCGTGCCGGCGATGTAGGCCGCCGAGCGCGTCGCACAGCCGGGGATGCCAGGGAAGCCCTGGACACATGGGAGGTGGGGCGGCGGGCGGATAGTGCTGATGGAAGGCAGTCAGGAGCAAGCGGTGCAAAGAAGCTGCCGTTCGACACTCACAGCTTAGCCTGCGACATTTTGGCGGGCTCGACAATCAACGCTTGGCGGATCTTCTGAAGGAGGCTCGGTGGTAGCCTGTCGCTGGACGGCAAGGCAAAGGGAAAGGGGCACGCGTGACTCTGCCTGCCTCAGGCTCCCATCCGTCTGTTCGTCACAAAGAGCCTTGTCCCCGCCTTATCGGTGCATCAGGGCTGCAGGCCGTGGAGGAAAGGGTGTAGCTGCGCGGGTGCTGACTGGATGCTTCGTTCGTCATCGGTGAGGGTACACGTGGTCTATGAATGCTGTAGCTCACGGTGGCCGGCTGATACGAGCAGATGGAGTGTCGAGGAAAGATAGCTGCTGCCACTGCTACTGCTACTGCCGCCCATGAACAAAGGATGCGACACATGGGAATGCAAGCTGCGGGACAGCAGGAGTGGACACTATGTACAGTGGGGAGAGGAAGACGAGATATACGTGAGATGATGCAATCAATGCATTCTTTTTGCATTGACGTCTTGAGCTACTACATACATATACACGAAGCGCGCCGCAATCAACAAACTGTCACAGCAGCAACCAGTCGATCCTCTCCCTCCCATCCCTATGCCGGCGTGTCGAAAGAGAGAGTGTGTGTGTGATGCTGATGTGTGTGTCCGCTGTATGTATAGTACTTGGGAGCGAAGCCGACCAACACCAACACCAACCAACCGACCAGTAGCAATGGAAGCAATAGTAAGCAGCAAGTAGCAGTTGTTAGCAGCAGCAAGGCGCTGCTTCTCTCCATGTGGCGCGAGTGTCCACACACTTTCACACTCTTCATATTGCTATGTCCTGCAACGACTGTCCACTCTGTCCCAGCCAAGGGGTTCTGCAAGAACCGTGACGCTGTGCAGTGCAATCTACTGCACAGCATCGTCAAGGTTGGAACTCTCTGTAGATTGGGTGCGCGAAATAGAAGTGGGGGGCGTCGCAGCTCCGCCGATTCCCACTCAGCATGCTCGGCTTCTTTCTTTAGGGTTGCTGCTCTCGTTTTGGTCGCCGAACCGTCTTTTCTGGCATGACAATACCTCGACCTCGGCTCCTACCAGCTGGAGCATGCATATTGTATACTGCTTGGGACGAGCCACCGCCCACCATCGTCCAACGCCTGCCCCAGTGGATGAACATCGCCGACACCCCGCACATGCTGCAGGGCTGAGCCCGACACCCCCCACAGCTGCAGCCGGCCGCGCTCGCAAACGCAAACGCACATGCGCTTCCCGACGATCACACCGCCGCAGACTCGGCCTATCGTCGCGCATCGTCCCCCTCCCCCCCTTCGTTCCTGACAACATCGATTCCATCGCATCTGATTTCCTCGTGCGCGGAAGCCCATGGAGCAGCGCCCAGCAAAGCGCCGGAAAGGCAACGGCGTGATCCTCCAGGTGCGTCCACTTCCTGAACATTCCCGTGTACACACTATGCTCAAGTGTGCTGCTCTTTTGCGCTTGACCTTGCCCTTGCTCTGTCCGCTCTCCTGACATAGCCAATCGCCATCACACGATGTGCAATCCCACCCAAGCTCAAATCCAGCAAACCCGTTGTACCGGACGGGAAGCGGCAACCTGACTACCAGCGCACCATCCCCGGTTGGCGCAGGATCGCTGGCAACGGTTGGGACCAGCTGGCGCGCTGGGAGTGCAGCGAAACCCTGATCGAGCTGCGCAAGCGCGCATACACATGGTCTGTCGCGCGCCTGGAAGATACTGCTGCGGTCAGTCCTCCGTTGAAAACTTACCAGGAGCCCAGCCAGCCTGCGTCATATGTGGGAGCTGAGCTGACGTCGCAAAATTTCCCCTTGCGCAAACTAGCGCGCTTTGGAAGAATTGTACCAGCCTTTGCTTGATGACATTCAAGATATACTCAATGAGCTCGCTTGTGAAGGCGGTCCAGGCCCGAGACACTTTGTGCCAGTTTCCTTTCTCTACGGCAATGGCGCTCTGCATCACACCTCAGGCGGCGCCGACTACGCGCGACGAGGCTGTGGGTCGGGTTTGCATACGATCCTGTTAACTGGTACGTCCTGAATATCAGAGGCACGCTTCTTGTTCAACGCAAGCAGAAAGATGCTCATCGTTTCTTGATTTTTGATCAGGAACCGATCCGCATACATCGGTCTTCCGCCAATTGCAGCAGCACCTCGCAGAGCACACACGCCAAAACCACAGCACCCTCATCATCCATGCCGAGCTATCCGCTGCCGAATGCTGGTCTCTCCCTTCAGCCCTGAGACTCGTCTTGGCTCGCCTGAGCGCACGGGTGACCTCGGCGCTCCGCGAGCACCTGCGCCTGCGTGATGGCGAGCGCGGCGACGAAGCTGAGAATAACTCTGTGCAAGCAGCGCAGCAGTATGCCGCCGCTGCTGCGTCGGGCGACACGCTCGCATTCCAACAGTTGCTGCAGCTGTACGCCTCCGCTGCGAGCCACACGGGCGAGGGAGCTGGCGAGCGCACCGTCATGTGCGTTCTTGTCGTGCCCAATGTCGCGTCCGCCGATCAGCAATGCGTCAGCGATATCCTGCAGGTGCTCCTGCGCTGCGCTAATCCAGATCTGCTGAGCACGTACGCAAGGGTAGGACGGGAAGAGCCAGGGGAATCCACCAACAGCAGCAGCATCGAACCGCTTTTACGCGGGAAGGTCGTCCTTATCGCCAGCGCGCTGTCCAATGAAACCTGGCTGGACGCTTTCCCTTTCGATACTCTGCGCTTGATGGAGATCGAGCATCTCTGCGTGCCGGATCCGCGTGCGCTATTCGACGTCATTATTGGGCGGGTGAGTGGCAGACGCAAGGCGCAGGTGTGTGGATCGACCGACGCGAGCTGACATCTTTGGGCCCCGGTCTCCAGCTCTTCATGCCGACAGCAGCAGCCGCAGCGGTGAATGGGACATCGCAAGACGAGGACCGAGGCGCACAAGCACAAGAAGAGAACGCGCTCTTGCCGATCTCCCTTGGCTTTGACGTGCTCAACACCTTGCGCCAGATCTACGAGCATTCAGAAGCAGATGTCGACAAGCTCGTTCATGCCATGCGCCTCGCGTTCCTCCACCACTACACTGCCAATCCGCTCGCAGGTTTGAGCGCGCTCATCGACCCGCCCTCCGAAGGTTGCAAGATCCTCGCCAACTACCATATGCGCTGGACAGCAGACTTTTGGACCATGATCCGCGTCCGCTTTGCTAGGGACACTAGCGCGATCAACGACGCCGGTGCTGACGAGCTCTCGGCGCGCGCGCAGCGCGACGTCGCTGCTGCGCTCGACGTGTCCTCCTGCCTCGCCGCAGATGACGCGGACGCAGGCACCGGCAGCGCCGAGGGCGATGCCCTATCACGCATGGGCGTGCTCGTCAGCCACAGCCGCGCTCTGTACCTTTGGCATGCACACGCGCGTCCCTTGGGAATTCGCATCATCCAGGCGATTGCCGCGAGCCTCTTCCAGCTCAGCCTACTTCCTGTAGCTGCAGTCCCATTGACATCGTCCCTGGCGTCCGGCCCCGCAGCGGCGGAGACGATGTGGGGCGCGACGCAACTCCTACGCGTGGCCCTCGACCCAAGCGAGGAGAGCGTGGACGCCGTCGACGCCGCGATAAGCAGGGAAATTGATGCGGCGGACTGGGTCGATGTGCTACGTGCCCTGCAGCGCGCCCAGGCACCAGCAGCAGCTGCAGCTGCGCAGATGCGCGACACCCATGCTCCGGACGGCGAAACGGCTGTGATGGCCGAATATCGCATCATGCTCGAACGTGCGCCTTCCAAGCTGCAGGCACTCATCGGGCGAATCCAAAGTGTCCTGGACGCAACGGGCCGCCCGCAACCGGCTGCTGCTGCACCTGGTGGCGCGCCGGGCCTCGCGCAGCCACAGGCCGAGGAAGCTGGGCTGCGGTACGCGATTAAGCAATGGCTCGGCAACTTGCTGGAGTGAGTAGATGATCGGTTTATCGGGTATGCATTCCCCGGGGGAGGCTGATGCTTCCCGTCTCAACCGCAGCACCATTCTACGACCTCCAGAGTTGCTCTTCCCTCTTAGTGCGATTTACTACACTGGGCCTAGCACTGCTCTCTACTTGCAGCGCCACCTGCAATCTACACCCCGCGCAAATATCCAGCTAGCGCTGGAAGCGCCGGAGCTCTGCTTCGCCAGTGCGCTTGAGCGCTTCCAGGCCTCAGACCTCAAGCCTCCGTCCTTGTCCGCCAGCCTGGACCTCACGACACACTACGCCGAGCTCAACGCGGCCGCCACGTGCGAGATCCTGCCGGACGTTGCGCAGATGTACGCGCTCTGGCTCGAAGTCGGTGATGCGAGGGTCATCAACCTCGCAGACTGGTACAACGTCTTCAAGCAGACGTTGCAGCAGAAGCGCCACTTCTCCCGGCCGTCAGCGGCTGGAGGAGGCGGCAGCGAGGGTGCTGGGCCCGGAGGAGCCGCAGGACGAGGGGATGCAGAAGCAGGAGACACTGCTATCGACAGCGATACGCTACGTGCGGGTGTAGAGAACGACCCGAGCGTCGCTGCCTTCCACGGCCTCGAGTCCATAGCGCCGTCCCGCGGTCATCGCCCGCGTCCCGGGCGCTTGCGCCAATTCATTGGTGACAGGGCCGACATGGCGGAAGAGCGCGAGATTCAGGCGCGCTTCGCGATGGCCATCTACCAACTCGCGTCCATGGGCTTCGTCAGGGGCACACAGCGCAAAGCGGAGCATGTCGCCAAGGCCATCTTCGACCTGCCTGTCCTCCCACAGGCGCAGCCGTGATCGAATGATGATGGAGACAAGCAAAGCTGCGATTTGGGTCCGTGTACATCTCATTGCACGAATCAAAGATCTTCCAGGTTCCATTTTGCCACGGGCTGTATGCTCAGATCGTGTGTCCTCTGCTCGTAGAACAGCAAGCCAGTGTGCGCGATCATCGCAGCGTTGTCTGTGCAGAATTCGAGCGGTGGGAACAGCAGGCGCGTGCCTTCTTTGCCAGCGGCGTCGAGCGTGTCGCGAAGGTGCTGCCGCAGGAAGGAGTTGCTTGCTACCCCACCGGAGCATACCACGTCTTTGATCGGCAAGTCGAGGGTGCGTTGCAGCACTAGACGCAGCTTTTCTGATATCTGAGCGACAGCTGCTTCTTGGAAAAGATGAGCAAGCGCTCGGCGCGTCTTGACATCGCTCGGGAGCGCCTGTACTGCCCGTGTCACAGTCGCCTTCAAGCCGGAGCTGGATATATAGAGGATTTCATGGTCAATATCGGCGTGATAAAGATATGACGGATTGTTACCATAGATACTTACTAAGAAAATGCAAGTTGGCCACGCATCGCACTAGGTAAGGCAATATTCTTTTGCTTTCTGAGATGCTCTTTAAGCTCCTGCACCGTCGTAATGTCTGCGGCAGCTGCAAAGGCTTCCAGTGCGGCACCCGGATTGCTATGTGCTGTGTTACCGCCCCAAGGTATGCCCATATCTCGCGCTGCCTTGTCAAATGCGTCTCTTTGGATTTCGGGGAATGTCAGAAGAGAATAAGCGACTATTGGGAGGGGTAAATGACGCACCCGATCGAGTCGTCGCTCGTCGTTGCGAGGATTTGGTACTTCTGCACTGACTCGGCCAGAACCAGCATGGTGTGCCCGCCAGAGACAAGCAGTGTCAGGAACGGGAAAGCTGGCGGGGATTCCTCGGTGAAGAAGGGTGTGAGAGCGTGTGCTGTAAGAACATGTCGTCAGCAATAGTGGAAGTGTAGGCTCTTTGGTAAGTGGTACTCACCAGCCATGTGATGAACGTAGATCAGGGGCTTATTCCACACGCTCGCAAGTGTTTTGGCAGCAACCATACCGTTCGATAGGGAGGCCATCATCCCTGGACCTCTTGTCACTGCAATCGCATCGATGTCTTTCGGTGATAAAGATTGTCCATCCATGTATTTTGTCGGCATCAAAATGCTGCTGGCACCCCATCCGTGTGATGGGCCGGCAGCAATTTGCAGCGCCTGACCAACCGCCTGAGGAACGTTGCTACCATGCCAAATCGCCGCATGGTAAGGGTGTATCCCACCAGTGGCGGAGTGATCTTGTCTGAGCACCACATTGGACAGCAGTCGTGGACGGGCTTGCGAGATTGCGGCACTGTGAACGCCAGCTGGCCAGGCCATGCCATTGATGACAGCAGCGCACGAGTCGTCGCATGAGCTGATGAGACCGGAGGGCGTTGAATGCGAAGGTTAACTTCATTCTGTTCAAATCATCGAGTAGAATCATTTTCTTCAGTACTCACCTCTCAATACCAAGCACCGTCTTCTCCCCAGGAGCTTTGAAATGAAGTCGTCGAGCTCGAAAAATCGGCCGCAAGCGCAGGCACGGTGCCGACCTTCGCAAGATTCGACTGAGGGCGTTGCTTTCAACCGCAGCGGACACACCCTGACCTAGCACAGCGCCCATGATCCCTAGAGCGTGGAGATAGATACCTGGTCAGATAAATGGCTCCACTCGCATATATCAAGCAAGTAAAAGATTGCGTCCTAGTACAAGGTGATGAAGGTTATGTCGTATCATTTTGCAATTGAGGTAGATAACGTATGAACCTACATCGTCTGATATTGCGACCACTGAAACATCAATTTCTTTGACCACCTTCTAGTGTTCTTCCTTCTGACGATTACTGGAGTCGCACTTCGGATGCAAAGCGTCGCCCATACGACCCACCCAATAGCCGCTGCAAGATCAAGGATGAACCGGAAGAACTGGTACCAGGTCTTACGCGCTGCAGAGCGCCCAAATCTCCGTGATGGGCCGGGACGATGCCCATTTCAACGACCCTCCCAATCATCCGCTGCGTCCCCATCATTGCCTAGCCACGGTGCATTCAGACACTCTCGCGCTTATTCTAGACTTTGCAACCAAAAATGCACCGATTTTACTACGCTCTATGCATCTACCCCACGAAGAAACTTACATTACAGCGCTGGAGTCTGTGCCCGGCTATCCCATGATGAAGATGGGCGCAAGGATTATGGGGATGGCCGTGTGGTGATCGAACTTGAGCCCGATTTCGACCAGACTCAGACAGCACTAGATGTGTTAAAACGTGAGCGGTCGTAGCATGGGATCAATCAAACCGTCACCTGACTTTGTGGCATTCCTTATACTTCAGGCAAAGTTCCACGAGGCTACATGCGCTTTGGCATTGCTTTGGATCAGCATGGGACCCTGTTGTCCCTCGGCGCGACATTACCACCCAACACGAGGTATCTTCATTTCATTCCAATAGCTTCCGATTTCTCTACTACAGCGTCAGTGTCAAGCGTCAGGAAGCTGCAGCAACTGTCGGCTGAACGAGCCGCTGTGCTCGCGAGAAGGTGCTTCTGGACTACCTCTGGCTATGTGCTTGGGGCGGCTCTCCAGGTCCATTTCCAGCAGAGACCACGGTCAAGCATTCTACACCTAACTGCTGCACCAGAACTTGTAGAAGATGTCTCGGGAGGTGCAGGCTTCGCTTATGACTTTTTCCTGGAGCAAAACGCTCTCGAAACCGGCGCTTCCAATGTCTCCGCGTCGGATCCGGTGGCCAACGTTATTCAACTCATTGGACGGCAGATGGGAGAGACTCCCCGCCTCGATGAAAGCGTCATGACCTCAATACAAAAGTGCTACGAGGCGCTTGTTACAGCAGATCTGCCCATCGACATCATCGCGACATCGCCCGCAGAAGCTCGGGAAGTTTTCGAGAGCAATCCTTTCAAGCTAGAGGAGCTTTCGACTGTGAAGGACGGAGATACTATCAGCTTCGTGCGTGTTGGGGAGTTCTACATCGACTTCATCCTCACAAAGCCCAATGTGCCAGATAAGAGACGCTTCGCTCTCCTACCATCCACCAACTACCTTCGCGCCGTCAAGCTTCGGCAATGGTCCACAGCAACCTGGACGCCCTCAACCCCACATGTGGGCCCGAAGGCTTTGCCAATGACTCAAGCGCTTCTTCGTGTCCGTGGCATCACTTTCCCTTCCCATGCTCAACTCAAAAAGCACATCGCCGCCCAAGAAGCAGCCAGTGCTTCTGACCACAGGACGATCGGACGCTCTCAGGCGCTATTCATGACGTCTGACGTTGCAAGTCCCGGCTCGCCCTTTATTTTGCCCCATGGAATGCGTATTGGGCGCAAAGTCGAGCGCGTTATCCGTGACCTGTACGATGTTCACGGGTACGATGAGGTTCGCACTCCGCAGCTGTTCAAAAAGGACCTGTGGGTGCGCAGCGGGCATTGGGAAAACTATAAAGATGATATGTTCAAGGTTAAGGGATTCAGAGAGGACAGCGAGTGGATGAGCGCCAGGGCGGCGCATGACGGTCATTCCTGTGTGGCCCACGGCTCCACCGCGTCTACTATGGAGGATGGAGACGAAGGAGCTTACGGACTCAAGCCAATGAACTGCCCCGGACACTGCCTCATCTATTCCAGCAAGGAGCGTTCTTACCGCGACCTGCCGCTTCGGCTAGCAGAGTTTGGCCCGCTCCACCGCAATGAATCATCAGGCTCACTGTCCGGTCTCACCAGAGTGCGCCGCTTCCATCAGGACGACGCGCACGTTTTCTGCACGCCCTATCAGGTCTCTGGCGAAATCCAGTCGATGCTTAAGATGCTCACAAATGCGTATCGCACCTTTGGATTCGAGCAGATCGAGCTCGTGCTCTCCACGCGACCAGCGCAATTCATCGGCGAGGTCGCCGAATGGGAGAAGGCAGAGGACTCTTTGCGCCAGGCCCTGGATGCTTGTGGGCGTGCGTGGTCTACCAATGAAGGCGATGGCGCGTTCTATGGGCCCAAGATCGACTGCAGGCTCGTCGATGCCGCTGGCCGAAAGCACCAGACGGCGACAATCCAGCTCGACTTTCAGCTGCCTAGGCGATTCGAATTGCGCTACGCCAATCCGGTCTCCGCGGACGGGAGTGGATACAGCATGCCAGTCATGATTCACCGGGCGATACTTGGCAGTGTCGAGCGCTTCATGGCAATATTGATCGAGAGTAGTGGTGGCAGATGGCCGTTCTGGCTTAGTCCTCGGCAAGCTATTGTTTTGCCTGTGGCGGACACGCCCGAAATCAAGGCGCATGTCGAATACGTGCGCGACTATCTTGGGCTTGGCAGGGAAATAGCCGACCAGAAGCGGTGGACTCGGGGAGTGGCGGCCGGCGAGGCTTCAAGACCAGACGATGCACTAGAACTTCCGCTGGCACGTCCGCTGCAAGTCTTCCATGTCGACCAGGATTTGAGCCTTGAGCGTCTTTCCAAGATGATCCAAAAGGCCACAACTGCTCGATACAACTTTATGCTCGTCGTTGGTGAAATGGAGGCGCGCTCGGGGACGGTGAGCGTCCGTGTCCGAGAAGACTATGCTGCTAACCCGCCTCCTGCGCTGCCTGGTAGGCCAGAGCTGAAGAAGGAAATGGGAGAGTACGAGCTGCACAAGCTACGAAGGCTCTTCGAAGAGCTCGACACAAATCACTGGTAGTCATTAAGCTCTCAGTACCTGCTTATGATTTTTACATGTGTTCATGTAATTCCGTGAAAACATTCATATTTTTGCGAAACTTAATTGCACCGAATTTTAATCCGGGGGCTCTTGCAAGGAACCACTGCCGGTAGCGACAGCGACTTTTGTTCAGTCGTGTCACGATCTCCCCCACCCAATCTACCAGAAGAACCGAGCCTTACGGCTCAGAGGGACGGTGTATGGCCCAAGAAGGGCGTTGATGGTTTATTCCAAGATTCCGACTTCGTCGGAAGCAGAGACGGCGGCAAAGGCGCTCAAGCAAGGGAGGGAAGAGGTGTCATCATGGCGCACCTTCGCCACAGCGCTGCAAAAGTGCTTCGTGCACCTGGGCCTGCTCGTCATTCACGTCTTCGACAAATTTGTTCGTGTCAAACGACGAGGGTCCAATATCACTTCAATTCCGGACATTCCCATTTTTCAACTGCGACAGATTCCGCAGCTAAAGATATTAAGGATATGAAGGGAAAGGGAAAAGCGAAGACAGGCAGCGATGGGTCAAACAAGAATGCCTTTTCTTCAACCCTGCTGCTCCCCAACACCGACTTTCCGATCAGAGCAGATGCACCCAAGCGTGAGCATCTCTTCCGGGGGCGTACGACAACGGATTTGTATCGTTGGCAATGGTCGCGATTTAAGCAGCGTCAGAACTGTCATCCTTTGGAAGCTTCGTCGTCATCTACTTCCTGCAGCGGCAGCAGCACGGCAACTAATCAAGCAGCTGACACTGAGCCGGAACGACCTTTCATGCTGCACGATGGACCACCGTACGCAAACGGACATCTGCACATGGGTCATGCGTTGAACAAGATTCTCAAGGACTTCATCAACAGATACCAGGTCCTTCGTGGCCGAGGCGTTCACTACGCGCCCGGCTGGGACTGTCACGGGCTTCCGATTGAGCTGAAGGCGCTTTCGGAGCTCGAGTCCGACATTAACGTCCAATCTACATCTGGCTCAAAGAAAAAGGCTAACTTAGGATCAAGGACGCGGCCAAGAACAAAACGACAGCTGGAAGCGCTAGAGATCAGGCAGCTGGCACGTCGTAAAGCTCTCGAGGCCATTGAAGTGCAAAAAGGAGAATTCAAGGAGTTCGGAATCATGGCCGATTGGGATGATCCACGGCGAACTTACCGTACGCTGGACGTCGATTATGAGATTCGACAGCTCAAAATCTTTGGAGAAATGGCGAAGAAGGGTGAGGCATCTTCGGAAGCAGGATAATTGATTGTGCACTAATCCATTTTCCTTTCATCTGGTTACATCCGAGAAAGGCCTAATCTATCGCGCCAGACGGCCTGTCTACTGGTCCCCTTCTACGCGCACGGCCCTAGCGGAAGCAGAATTAGAGTACATCGAAGATTACCTTTCTCATTCTGTCTATGTCCGCTTGCCCCTCGCATCGTTCTCGGACGATCTTCGCGCATCGCTAGAAGCCACAAGGGAACAGGGCAACGGGAATGATCTCACAAGAAAGGCTCTTGAAGGGACGATTGCGATTGACCTTGTCGTCTGGACGACAACGCCATGGTCACTGCCATCTAACATGGCGGTGGCTGTCCATCCCGATCTAGAGTATAGTCTTGTCGCACTAGAACGACAGCCACACGAAGAATATACACTGCCGAGGTTGTTAATCGTTGGAACCGATCGTATCGAAGCCATTTCCAAGGTACAAGCCGGACCATACACGCCAGTGCCACGACGAAATCAACAACCACAGCTCACAACGGGCGTGATTGTTCCAGACGACGCAAGTGAAGAATCCCAGCGCATGCCTGTAGCTGAAGCAGTTGGTCCACAGCTCGTTGGGCCGCTGAAGGAGCTCGCACGGTTCCGTGGAAGTGTTCTTCTCGGTTCCAGCTATGTGCCCCCACTTCAGCGAACCGATCGGGAGATTGGCTTGCGGGCCTCGAGTACAAGCAGGCCGGTCATCGGTGCCGACTACGTGACGGCCGAGACAGGTACTGGTCTTGTGCACACTGCTCCTGCACACGGTGCAGAGGACTACGAGTGCATGAAAGGGTTAGGGTTACTCGACCGGGAGCAGCCTTTTTCACCCATTGACGATAGTGGCTGCTTTACGGATGACCTATCGTTGCTCGGATTCACACTGGTGGCGCCTGATGTCACGTCTACAGAAGGGGCAGCATCAGTGCCAGGGTCTGCGATTTCTGCAGCGCAGCTGGTCGGCCAGGAAGCTCTGGGACAAGGGGGGCGCACGATTGTCTCCCTACTTCACAAATCCGGACTGTTGCTCAGTGAGGCTCCACAACGCCATCGATACCCGTGTGACTGGCGTTCCAAGCACCCAATAATCATACGCGCTACGTGGCAATGGTTTGCAGATCTCTCACGCATCAAATCTCATGCGCTCAAAGCCCTAGAACACGTTCACTTTACACCTACCACATCGCGGACAAGGCTGCAGAGCTTTGTTCAAGGTAGAAGCGAATGGTGTATATCTCGCCAGCGCGCGTGGGGCGTGCCAATACCGGTACTGTATGATGAAGCGTGTGGGCAGCCACTGCTCACCGTTGACAACATCGAACACATCGTCGGCGTGCTCAAAGAAAAGGGGATGGACTACTGGTGGACTGGAGAGGCGGATGAATTCGTCGCGCCACAGTATGCGCGAGAGAAAAGCGGGAAATGTTGGATTAAGGGAACGGACACGATTGATGTCTGGTTCGACTCCGGAAGCTCATGGGCTGTCATGGAGGACTATCTCCATGAAGAGGGAGTGGTGCAGCATACTAATCGCGCCGGTTACCCGGTAGCAGACGTCTACCTTGAAGGTTCAGATCAGCATAGGGGATGGTTCCAATCCTCGCTCCTTACGCGCATTTCTACCGGCCGAGCTTCCTCGGAAGAAAACAGCCAATGGTCCGCACCGTACAAACACATCGTCACACATGGCATGGTTGTCGATAAGGAGGGCAAGAAGATGTCCAAGTCTATCGGCAACACCATCTCCCCTCTCGAGTTCATCCGCGGGAATGCCAAGCGGCAGATTCCAGCGTATGGCACCGATGTTCTGCGCCTGTGGGTTGCGCGAAGCGATTACACAAAGGAAGCGCCGGTTGGTAACGAAATCGTCAAGAAGGCTGCAGATGCATTGAGAAAGCTAAGGAACACCGCCAGATTCATGCTTGCGAATCTCAAAACGGAACGCGTGAAGCCACTCGCCAATGTCAAGCTTGATTTCGTGAGTATTGCCTCTGTGCATGAGGCTCAGGTTGTTTCTAATTGCGTGTCTTTAAGTGTGAGCTCTATACTCTGCACCAGCTAGCCCTGTTAGAACAAGCATGTCTGCAAGCGTACGACGCGTTTGACTTTGCAACAGTCGCCCGAAAGCTGAACGAGTTCGTCAGCGCATCGCTGTCCACCTTTTACCTGGACATTACCAAAGACGTGTTATATTCCGATGCACGCGACAGTCCACGCAGACAAGCAGTGCTGGCCACTCTCGATCAGGTCCTGCGTACTCTGACAGCTATCCTTGCTCCCATCACGCCGCACCTTGCTGAAGAAATCCATCAATATCGACAGTCGGATTCCGAGGCGCATGAATGTGACACATTCGTTTCGGCCTTCGAAGCCGGGTGGCAACCAGTTGTATGTGTAAAGCCCCGCACATTGTTCTGCTGAACGGCACTGAAATGTCCCCGTCTTCATTCTTCAGCCCCTCAATTTCCTCAGCTCGGAGGTAGCAGCCGAAGGTGCAGCTCTGATGGGCCTACGACAAAAGGTGCTTTTACTCGTTGAGCAAGGTCGCCAGCAATCTTTCCTCAAGTCGGCTCTCGAGGCCGACGTGCACATACGAGCCACCTCAGCAATGGACGCAATGCTTATGGGCGCAGTGGAAAAGCACGGTGAGCTTTCCGAGTACATCCTTGTTCGTTTAGGTTCAGAGCTGATAGGAGTCTGTATCCCCAAACCCCCATAGAGTCCGATTTGGCACGCTTTTTAAACGTCTCGCGCCTTCTGCACCGTGATAGTCTCGATATCTCTGCCTCGCAATGGCAGGTGACAGGCGAGCATATGGGCCTGAGCATCACCATTAGCGCACCGCAGCAGGCCAAGTGCCCCAGGTGTTGGCTCTTCACTCGGTCAGAGGGCACCGAGCTTTGCGCCAGGTGTGACAGCGTAGTTCACGCGCACTGATTGCGTAAACATTAGTACATAAGCTAGGCTAGGCTGCAGTTGTTGCCGGACTGGTGTTGTAACATCGTAAGCTCAACGAATTTTCTCGAATGCGAATGCTTGGTAGATCGCTATGAAACGTATGAATTCGCGATAAGTAAATATGAGAAGGCGGCGCTGGTGCAGACAACATGGACTCACATGCTGCTTCCCACATTTCGTCATCTAGAAGTGGCTGCTTTGTCCTCCGATCGACCACGTCCATCCTTTCGAGCAGCGAACCGAAGCTCCCATCGCTACGCTCTTCCTCGAAAACTTGCAAGAAGTTATTGCGGTAGATCTTCTTCATTCCATATTCGAAAGCAAGTCTAAGAAAAATGAAGGCATCTCCATCAGCGCTCGAAGTACAGCCAAAGTGCCTTCGACAAAAGGACTCACGATTCGAATTGCGTCCAATCGACTACGTACTCGGGCACATTCTCGACTGCATCGTCCAAAAAGAAGTTGTACTTGTGCCCAAAGATGGGGAAGCTCTCCCGCTGCTCAAACTCAACAGAGTAGATCGAATTACCGAATTTAAGCTGACCCTCTGGCAGCTCTTTTAACTTGGACCGAAGCCGATCCCCGTCCGGAATCGTTCCGATGAAGATGCCGCCTTTCCGCAGGTACTTGGATATGTTCTCAAGCATAACACGGACTTTTGGAATGTCAGACCATGCGTAATGCATGCAAAATTGGAGGCTGAGATTGTCGAATTGCAGTTCCAGAACCTCGGCTGGGACTTTTTCGAAGAGCGGTATCTTCACAGCATGCAGCACGTTGGTCAGGATCAGGGCAAGTGCTGTTAGCAGCCATCTCCAAACTCACCCCGAAGCAGTCGAAAGCATAAAAGTCGGCAGTATAGCAATGCTTTCGATCAAAGTACCTACTTTGCGCATGTTGTATCGAGACCTCCGCGATGTCGATCATGACCAGATGAGAAGCACGCGCCTTGTCCCATTTAGCCAAGTCACCACCTTTCCCGCAACCGAGTTCCATTACACGAGGCCCAAGACGTCTAGAGCGCCTGCCCTCCACCTCGCCTTTGTCTTCGCCATTGGAACCAGGGGACGGACGATCCCGGGCGTAGCGTCCGATTAGGATCGACTTGATCCAGTTGTTGAACTTGCGCAGTGGAAAGATGCGACTCCTCTCGCGCCCTTGTACGCCAACATCGTGTCGCCGGTTGTAGTGCTCTGCGACTTCGCCGGCGTTCTCGATGGGCCGTTGCCCATCCTGATATATGCTCGTGCTTGCGCTGCCTGCAGCGCCACCCTCAGCCATTCGTCGGAGTGGATTCTGATGTCGCCGCTTGAAAGATTCTATCTCATCAGGTAGAATGGGCTGCAAAATTGAGCCAGGACGAGAAAAGCGCTCTCTCGGTGCGTAACGGGAAGCTTTGACTGTGGGCATCGGCGCGGCGGAGGCGGCGGACGAGGGCTCTGACAGAGGGTCTTCTTTCGCATCGGATGAAGTAGAGGCCGGAATTGGCGATGAAGTGCGCATCGACTTGGCAAATGGATGAATGGCTTGAGGTGAAGACATCCCTTTCGCCTCTTGATTCTCATCCGTAAAAGCCTTGCGGGCCTTTTTCTGAGGGGGACCACCAATTTTTTCCGCTGCTGCTGCGGCAGCACAGTTCACAGAGAATGGGACGAGTTCTTCGTTTGGAACCATGACTGAATGCTTCCTCCTGACCCCTGCAGTAGTTGTGACATTCCGCAGAGAGGCAGGAATTGGTTCGGCTCCTGCAGTCTTCGGGGATGCCAGGGTAGCCTGGTGGTTCTCTACTGATTGAACGGTGGTTGACGAAGAGGTAGCTGTGGGATCCAGCGGGTACCCAGAAGCTTCGTCCGCTTGAGAGGTGGGTGCGACACTGGCAACTGCTGGAGTAGAGCCAGAATCGATAGACAGAGTCGAAGTTGTCGGCGAAGCCAATGCAGCCCCAGTCGACCTCAGTGTCGAGACCTCAGGAAGCTGAGGAATTATTCTGCTAACGTCTGGCGAGCGAGATGCAGGTTTGTCTGGGACAACGAAGCCATTTCTTACTTTCCCTTCTGATGAACGCGACCTGCCGCCCTCTTCGAGCCTTATGGAAGGTACGAAGGCTGCAGCTGGCGTGATGGGCCCTCCCACAGGGCTCGGTCCGTGTAGCAACGTGGCAAATCGACCCTTTGGACTGTCTGCCAACGCAAACCGCTCGACTGAGGCTCCAGACCCAAGTTCAGGCGAGGAAGAAGCGTGCATCGAGATGGACGGCGCTCTCGATGCTGATATGGATGAGGATCTCGACTTTGGCGTGCTGCGCTCTACCGGTCCTGCCTCTCCACCATTGAGAATGTTGACCAAACTCGGGCTGCGCTCTTGGCGTCCGTATCCTCCGGCAGACAGCGGCAGCTGGGTGTGAGCCGAGAAGGGCGAGCCAAACTGGATGCTGTTCCCAGTAAGCAACAACGAAGCTGTCATTGGTGCAATTGCATGACTTGTTCTCGACAGCGCGGTGTCTACTCGCTGCCCCTCTCGATCTTGACCCGTAAAGGCTGGCGAAGATGATGATGGGTTGAGGATGTCCGCAATTGATGCCCGGGTCCGCACAGGCGACATCATACCGCTCGCATCGCCACTTACGCTTCCGTCTCCCAAGCTCGTGCGCGAAGAGGATGAGCCGGATCGATCAAGGCTCGGATGTACCACAGCAGGCAGTGCATCTTTTCCTAGGGTTGGGAAGCCAGCATCCGCCTTCTCGCGAGTGGGCGATGGATTCGGGTCACGGACGGGATCGTAACCGGGCATGACGGCGACCGCGCCGTCTCCTGCTGGCGAGTGACTTGTGACAAGTGCCCCTTGGCCGGTTGGCGGCGGCGTGAATCAAACCACGCGAGCGCCTTGGATCAGCAGGTGCGACAAAGCACTGAGGTGCAGCATGCAAAGGACACCGGAGTGCACATGCATGTGCCAGGCAGATTGAGGTGTATGGTCTTCCGATACTTTTTTCTCCCCGGACCGATAATGGTCATGTCAAGACGCGGGAGTCGGAAATGTGATGTGGACGAGACGACTCGAGAAACCGAGCTACTTGTCCATCTCGACCCTCGAAAAGGTTAAGGGACCAACTTTAAATGGCACTGACCCAATCATCCCAAGACGATCTTCTTTTGATACACACCCGCTGCCGGCAGCTTTAGGGCTCTTAGAAGATGTGCACTTAGTACTGAGGTGTTATGGAAGAGGCGTGCATAAGTGTACCGCGAGGCGCACCGACCCACGCCACCATGTCGGAGACGGTGTCGACACCCGTCAAGCTGCCAGGCTTTGTCGATGCCACCAAGCTTTTTGCCAAAGCTTGTGACAGTGAGCCTTCTGGCGATACAGCAGATTGCATGATATTCTGACCACGTCGCTCGAATCTTAGACCTTCCACTGGGAAAGCTCGTGCACCAACCAGGATTCACCATGATGGACACCATGGGAGCTGTTGAGGTGCGCTGCTGATCCTGGACGGTGCAGAGTTGCGCCTGCGCTGCTGACGTATCGACAGTGGTGCAACCTGATTCACAACAGGCCATGGAACCTCGAACTGACACGGGTATGGAAGCGCTGGAAATAGACTTGCCCGTGCAAGACCAAAGGCCATACGACTGCAGCGTTGCATTCGACCCAGCCTCGCACTCTCAGGAATACACCGTGGCAGATGTTTGCTTCATTATGGACCGGCTTCTCGCGTGCGATGTGAGCCTCATTTTCTCGACAAACTTGGCCAGGGGCTGGGCTGAAATTTGGAACTCGCGCCTTATTTCACTAGGTCGGATACCAGTCCGCGATGCCACTGTCTCGCACGTTGTACACGTGCAGATGGTTGCACGAATGTGACCAATTTATCCGGGAAGTTCTCCCTCAAGGACCAACTGTTATGCATGCTTTACATGCATATGTCTCCTCAACTTGTTTTTCAACAAGTCTCATTTGGAAAGAGTTGGTCAAGGGCAATGTTTACGACGTGAGTATGAATTGTGTTAGCGTGTATGCCGTGTATGCCGTGTCTGACCGAAGCGAGCGCGGTCCCATACTGACAGGGTGAGGATTTTCAAGGGGACAAGTCAGGGCTGAGCATCTTGGACACACATTGCACTTCTAGGGAGCATGCGATTGCTGGGCTCGATGCTTCGTTGGCTCGAATCACATCAGACCCAGCTTTAACAGCTAGCGAGAAGGATGCCCTCAAACTACGTCTCCTCTTCCGAAAGGTATGGGCCGTCCCTTATGCTTGAAGTATCCTATGTGGCTACATGATACTGAATTGCAACAACAGCACATTTTGCTTTGTTTAGATCTGCTGAGCGACATTCCGCAAAGCTTCAACAGCGGAAATATCGCAGACCTTCCTGTTCACGTTAGGGGTGCCGAGTCCTCACTTCGGGCACTCACAAAATCAGAGGATTGCGTTGGAACACCGCCGGCAGATGGCGCCAGGGCATTGAAAAGACTGTCCGAGCCGCACCTTTCGCGTGCTCCATCAGCACGGGCTTCAGCTGCATTTGATATTGGGATTCATCGGCGACTCGCATCGCACGTTCCTTCTCAGTCGAGAGCCCTCCCGAGCGCAAGCGAAGCTCTCGCTTTCTTCGACCGCTGGCTTCGAGGTGTGAAGCTTATCAACGAGATGCTGCAAAAACCAAGCTGGCGCTCCTGGCATCAGTTGCTCGTCTATGGAACCAATCCCGGCCGTTCGGGGGACAATTTGTCGTTTCTGGATGCGCTTGGGGGCTCTACCCAGACGCAAGGAAATAATGAGAAACCCGCCTACATCCGATCAATCATGCAGAGCGCCATCTGCAATAGCCCAAACAACGTAGTCGCGGGCTGCAAGACACTAGAATGGCTTCGAGCCTCTTTCTTGGCAGACTGCATCGGTTTAAGTGCCGCCGAAATGGACCAGCAGTTGCGCCTGTTGGAAAATCTTCAGGCACCTGACGCACAATCCTCACAGTTCGGTCTACTCGACGAAGATGTCTTTGCTCTTCCACCCCGCCACCCATCAGACGAACCTGGTGTAGTAAAGCGAGTCTTAACTCAGTTGTCTTGGGCGTTGCCGCAACTCTCCGGGTATCTCGTCGATTTCCTGTGTACCTTTTGCCAGAACGGGCCGCGCCAGCATCGAAACTTTGCGAAAAGATATCAGCAGTGGGTCGCTCTGTCCGACTCAGTGAGCTTGCTAGAACTATCTGTACTACTTTTTGACTTCTTGCTGACATCACCTCTCCTTTGTGGGATGTTTCAGATGGCCCAAATCAGTGAGGACGCTGCTCTATTCAACAGTGGTTGTGCACGGTCGATCGAGAAGGTATACGCTTGCGTCCAGTCAATCACCATGGAGATCATGCTGCAAGTTGTTCTTCTCGGCTTTCGCCTCCAACTATACGCCCCGCCAGAATTCCTATCAGCATACTGGGTGACGACGTTTTTGGCAGGCGAGCGTGGACTCCTCTTAAGTCACATTATGAAGCAAGCAAAAGCAAGCAGCAGCCCTAATGCAGCCGACGGTGCATTATTGGAGTCCGTGCAGCTTGAGATGGACATGATGACAGTTTTAAGCCAGCTATCTGAAGGACTGTATAGGGTGAGTCTTTTAAACGTTTCTCAGTTTCTCAGCTTTTGTTGACCGTTGATCCGGCATCGCAGCTCTGCTCTGGCCTAAAAATTTGCTTCCATGGTAGGCTCTATGACGCATCTTTCCGTTCCAGCGTCTCCAAGACTCAATTTTATCGTCGTTTCAAGTGGCTCAAAGGGTCACAACCAGCCGGGGTACCATCCCAGCTGGACTCCCTCTGGCACCAATGTGAATCATTCTTCGCGAAGGAATGTTTGGAACCAAAGGGGGCTCAACTTGAGTTCGTTGAGGATCTGTTCATTGACACGGTTGATGGTTCGATGAGCCATGATGCCGGGCAGAGAGGGGTGGCATGGGACTTTCTGCGAGCACTCGGACAGAACGCAGCGATATACCTTGAAAAATGCAACGCTGTTCCCACCAATGAAAAATGCGCCCTGGAAATGTCGTGGCAAGACCAGGCATGCTTTCCCAAAATTACCTTTGTAAACATACAGCAAGTTTAAGTTGCATGCGATGTTCAAACGGAATTTTCGCAGCCCATGCTATTTGGACTGGTTAATCAAATGTGCCCTCCACGGATATCTTGATCACAGCCATTGAACGTGTGAGGACTGAGAAGTGTTGATGGGTTTATTCGTTAATGGGGCGCACTTGCGATAGGAGGAGCAACGATGGCGGCCACAGGATGAGCCGCCGAGCTCCATGGTATAACTAGTTTAAACGAGAAGCGAACTAATCATATGTGATCGAAATCGTTTCTCGTTCGTACTCAGCTTTCATCGTTGGGTATCCTCATCATACGAACTGCGCCTCTGGAGCAGCTGACTGCTGATATCCTAGGGATCTACCAAACGCTGTCGTCTGCTTTGCCTCCGTGGCACTCTTCGCTCTCGGCAGCGCTTCTTCAACCAGCTGCTCATGTCAGGCAAACCCCTCGGTCATGCCCTCCATTCTTGCGCTGCTGATAGTCTACTGCATCGCCTTCGCAAGTGCATCGTGCCATGTTTTTGGTATAAAGCAAGCTCCACTTTTATCGCTTGCCCATTCCCTTCAGCTATCTTAAGAATGGACCGCATTAGGTACCTTTTCGGTTCGAATGCGGGAGCTTCCGTTCGCTGCTAATCCAGCTTTGGCTTTCGGCAACCTTGCTTTCTTGTAGCCTCTTGGACGTTTCATCTGCTACGCCTTCTCGACCGAGCTGCTCAATGCCAGCACGAATTCGAGGCGAATGACAAGTCGGTCTGCAACCAGGACAGTCTAAGCTCAGACGGGGACCTTGCCTTTAACATGTTGAGGAAGATAGAGAAGTCAATTGCGCGCCACCGACTCGCCGCAAGGCTGATGGCCTCATGTTCACATTCCTTAAGAGTGTAGAGCCAATTCAGATCGTACTTCCTACCAAGGCCTCTGAAACGCAATTCAGGCAGTACTGTTCAGTTTCCCACCGTTGGACCACTGACTCACTCATCTGCGGTCGCATCGACACGGTGCTGGTCACCGACAGCGAAATGGTTGAACAGCCTCAGAGGCTTGGTGCAGCAAATGCCCTGGTGGTTGGTGGGCCGCACGAGAATATTCTCGCTGTGGAGATGCTCCAGAAACCCGGAGCAATCTTCGAGTGATCGACCCAAGTGATGCCTCTCGATCATGACTGTCTCACTTCTCAGTTCAGTCGATTTGACTTCCGAGAGAGACATCTGGGCTGCCGCGACAAAACTGCCCTGAAGTGGACTCCGTCTCCTGACTCTACAGCCTCCTTCTCGAGCCAATGCTCGAGGCTCGATGGCGCTGGTGCTTGGCGCTTCCGACCACCTTAGGGCCCTTGAGCGTGCAGCTCAGCTGCTCCCTGTGCGAACCGGCACGACAGTTCCCGAATGGATCCTGTTTGGCGCTGACATGGATTGGAAAGGCGCTGGCGGAGCTGTCGGTGCAGGGCGAGTGGATACCTGGGACGACTTTAACCGGGGCCCATTTGAACTTGTCTCTTTTCGTCTTTTTCTCAGGTGGTTCGACAACGACTAGGGATGGTCTGAAAGCATGTCCTATCTTTCAGATGTGCTCTAATGATACAAGGATGTAACTCGGCGGATATGCTACAGTACCTAATTCTTCTTCACCCTCTTGTGAGCCTGCTGACTCTCGCGAGGATGCTCGCGTTGCGCTTCAAAGTCTTTCCTACAGCGGCCGACTTCTGCGAAAGCCTTGGCAGCCTCGCATTGGTTCTGATCCGACACGGGCAGCACAAATTTGCTCGCCTTTGCCTGGCGTCTTTTGACGTCGCTGTCCCACGAAAAGTAGTCGCACCGGAGCTGGGGGTTGACGCGATCGCGCGAGATGCCGCTGCCCTCATGTCCGGGCCCAACGGGGCGATTGCAGAGCCAGAACTTGCGCCCGTGGTTTGGACCAGGCTTGTTGACGGTCCACGCGCGTGCCGCTTCCTGGTGCATGCTGCAAAGCGGAGCTGGTGGCGGCGTGAAGATCTGCCCCCACGCCATAGCGGATTTGTACGTTGAAACACCATCTTCCTTGTCGGGTGATATCGGAATGACTTCGTCATCGATCAATCGGGATGCATTCAAGATGTCCGTTCTTGCTTCTGCTTCTGCTTGTTCATCGGCTCGTACAGTTAAGGCGCTGTCGAGAGGTGTAATTTGTTCCACGCTTGACTGTTCCGCAACCATGCTGGTGTCTTTCGCTCTGGCTTCCTTCCCTCTGTCCGAATTCGACGCCAATACTTCGTCGTCTCGTGTCGAGCTTTTGCCTTCGAGCGGCGTCTCCGCCACATTTCGTTTTGGCAGGAAAGCTTTGAGGGACAACTGACTGTGAGCGCTAGTTTTCTGAGCTGCTGCGGTGGGCTTGATAGTTTTGGCTACCCCTTTGCTTAAAGGAGCCGCACTTGGTTTGCCACCGCTTTTTTTCGGCAAAGCCTCCGAGAAAACTTTGTCACTGCTGCTAGCATATCTGGGTTTGCTTTGGGATAACCGGGGCCCTTTTGAAGCAGTGCCGTGCCTTGAACCTGTTGCTGCTGCCCCTGATGGTACAGTGGGCCAAGTAGACGAGCAAGGGCCATTTGCTGGCCGTGTCAAAGCGAAACCGCTGCCCTTGGCGATGTAGTCAGGTTCCGCTGAGGGAACTTCAAAAAGTGCGTCGGCCAATGCAGTAGCCAGCGAGGCGCCAACACCATCCGCCTCGGTGCTGGTCGCTGCAGGCGTTGAAAAGCCCCTACCGCTGCTTGCTGACTCTTTGGTGATTGGCGCTAAGAACGACAGGGCGGGCCGGGATGCAGGCTGCCGCGAGGCTGTGCTTGCGCTTCGCTTCATACCAGCACCTGCTCCACTGCCAAAGTAGCTCGCGAGCTTGCGCTGCTTAGCAGAGAACTCAGGCCAGCTGCTACATGCGATCGGTGGAGCCTTGACGGTACCATTTGCTGGAGCGGCATGCAGGAGGTCCTTGATGCGGAACGTCTGACCGTCTATGAAGCGCTCATCGTGCAGCTCGATGTAAACGGGGCAGTGGTCGCTGCCGTAAATGTCAGGCTGAATGTCGGCACTCTTAACCCACGGCATCAAGCCGGGCGAGACGATGGTGTAGTCGAGCCTGGTGCCGTAGTTGACGGGCCTGGCGTCGATGATGGTGTTCCAGCAGGTGTACATCTTGCGTCGCGTCGGATGTAAATGTCGCCCGACATCAATGAACGAACCGTTGGGGGCGAGAAAATTGTCGAACCAGGCGCGCGCCGGGTGGGCTTTGAAAGTGGGAAGCGAATGGTCCTTCATGGATTGCTCTGGGTCTGGGTGATCGATCTCGTCTCGACAGATATTGATGTCGCCCACGATGATTACTTCGCGCCCGGCTTCGACGAGCCGACGGACGCGCTCCTCGAGGCATTTGTAGAAGGCCATCCTGCGAAGGGATATATTCGTGCGTATATAAGTGACCGTCCAAGTAGCAGAAAGAAGGGTTTCACGTGCTCTTACTTGTACGGAAGCCGTTCCGGGCCAGTTTCATTGGGACAATAGAGGTTGAAGAGAACGAACATGCTGCAGTCCAGCACGGTCGCTCGGCCTTCATTGTCGATGCTCCTAAACAGCTGAATGTCCATATCGTCTTTCATATCACAGGGCTCGAACCCGATGCGGTCGGCCTCCCTGAGCCCGACCCCTGACGATCCCATGATCGCGGCTGTAATGCTGCCGCTCGGCCCGCCTTCCTGCGCATAGCGCCCCGTTATGCCTTCCTCGGCTTTGACGGGCACGCACACGTCGCTCCGTGTCCAGACGGCAGTGCCCGAGTATCCCTTGTCAGGGTGCAGGTTGAAGAACGCCTGGTAACCCTCAACGACGCATGTGGAAGCTGCACCTTGTGACAGGGAAGCCTCGCTGAGCAGAGCTTTTCGGGTAAGCTTGCATTCCTGGAAGCACGCAATATCGGCTTTGAGGTGCGCCAGGGACTCGGCAAAGCTCTTGTGAGAGTACCACGGCTGGTAGCCTTTGAGCGTGCGTAGGCCATTGACGTTCCAGCTGACGATGCGCATGGCGTTTCGGATGTTCTTTAAGGGGTTTCAAAGGGATTGCGATGTCGTCCTCATAAATGGCATGATGGGCTGAAGCCACCGAACTGTTATGCTGACCGTCTGTAAAAGGCTCAGGCATTGGCAGTAGCAGCACGGAACCACCTGGCCATATGCCACATGAAGTGCATGTACCGCTCTAACAGGTAACCCGGCGCCATTCTCCATCCACGATGCACCGTCGATTGTCCCACGAGCAGCTCGTATCGTCACACGACGCAACTATGAGATGCTCGCCATTTGGGCGGAGTCAGTAGTTGGAGGAATAGGCGCTGATACCGACGACGCCGTCGGCAGTGGTCGACATTCTCTTCTGCGAAGGAATACTAACCCTATTTAAATGGGCCTTTCTGCTGGCGTCGAACTCTATTATCAAACCCTTGACTGAACGCCTTGTGAGATTGTTTCTGCTGAGCGAGATGCCAGGCTGTTGCTGATAAGACGAGGACGATGAAGACAGGGAAGGCAGCTGCTGGGAGTAGGGGAGGATCGATGAGGTAGGTGAAGGAGAGACGAACTGTTCTTCTTCCTTATAATTTAGTCATCATCGTCCGCATCATTGGCGGCAATAGCCAAGCTGTTCAGCAGCGGGCCGGATTACATGCCGAATTTCTGCATGGGGAGGGAGGGGTTCGTCGTGGACGTGCTGACCAGGGCATACACTGCATCAACTGCATCATCATCCATCATCACTGTATCCTTCTTTGCTTTATTCCTGTGCTCCGTGCAACTTATTTTCCACTGACGCAGTCCACTTCACCCCAAACACTCTTTGCACGTTATCTCTCCCTGAACAGCCTCAGATCTGCACGATATCTTCATTTCCTTCATGGAAGATCATGGATTTTCCTCCTTGCGTGCTAGTGATAGCTGTCGAGCGTTGCCTATCGACAAAGAGGGCGTGACAATTGAGATGGAAACTGATCTCCAACGTGCTCAGCTCGTAGTTGCTCGTTTCAGAGACGTCCAGAGCGGATCTAGCAGGGTCATCCACTCTGCCGACTGACAGCTCGCAATGCTTTCATATCGCTTCCTCGCGCTGCTGGACTTCACGTTGACTGCCAGCCCTCCCGCAGCGCGCATTGTAGAGCTCTGCCACAACCTCTATCTGCATAGCTTGCGTGACACTGCAGCATCTGAACAGGCGCTGTACCGTCCAATGGGCCACTTCGGCAGCGATAGCCCTTATCATGCTGGCCACACTCCGCCACTGCCTGCGAACAACGGTGAAGTTCCTTCTGGTTGCGAGTTTACGTATTTGCACTTGTGCGTTCATATTTCGGCTCCATGGTAGATGATCCCATCTCCCGCTGACGCTTGATCTGATTGCATATGTTCCCGCAGCTAAGGTCGCCACGGGCACGGGAGCCTTTCAAATGGGATGAACACCTCGCTTTAGAAGTTCGCTACACAAATTGCTCAATACCGCCCCTACCTGAAAGCGAGCGACAGCTTTGCCTTTTTCAAGCACTGAAAATTCCGCTTTGATGCCGCGCAGGTCAAGCAGCTGTCCAGGGCCGGGCCCATCGAGATGTAGGACATTGGCTGATCGTTCGGGAATACAGATCCCCGCCTCGTTGCGAAAGCCAAGAAGGTCAGCGGGAGGGACAAGTGGGCATGGAATAGCAAGGACCAGCAGCGCGTGGTGGGCAGCGCCTACTGCTTTGCGGAGGGCTTCTTCGGCGCGCCGTGCCAAGCCGGCTACAACGTCGGCTCCACGGCCGAAGCAAGGCATGTCAGATGGAACTTCCTCCCCGAGACGCCTACTGCCGCTCTAGGCTCGCTGGTCGGCTACCGATATGCATCGCGTACAGCACATCTTTCATGTAACTGGCGGGCATTCCACGTGGAAAGTAGGTTTCGTGCAGGCCATAACGCAGCGCTAGAATGCAGCAACGCAATAATAAAAGTGAAACACCTCGACGGTCAGCTTCGTGAAGATGCTGTGCACGTATGAAACGGTCGTCGCTCCCACAGGTCAGATTTCCAATGGTTGCAACGTCTTTACGCCCGCCAAGCAGCTCGCGTGGGAGTGGTCGCAGGATATCAACTATGTCACCTATCATGACGTGCGTCGACCTTGCCTCCATACCCGAGGCCTTAAGGGAAACTTGATGACCTATATACCTCTTTGGACGCAAGCAAACCTTGACGCTGCGCGACTCGCAAGCCTGAACGTCGAGTTTGTAGCCTCCAACCCGGGTAAAGTTTCATCCTCGTCGTAGCCATTCTACGATACATGCAGCCACGAAAATTTTCTTGTCCCCATCGTTGCTACCATAGGATCTACATTTCCTCCAGCTACCACACGCTCGCCGACGTGCCCATGCCGTACCACCCGTGGCGGCACGCGTTCCGGTCCGGCGACGTCGTCCGATTTGCGTGCAACTACATTATCGACAGCTTCACCTGCCCTTCCATCTCGAGCTCCAACAAGCATTACATCTGCATGCACGGCGACCAGGCGTTCTACCCGCTAGAGGGCCACGGCGTCGGAACAACAGGCACCGTCGACGGTATATTCTGGCTCGAAGGCTGGCTGCAGCAGCTTGCGGCGCATCAGCCGTGCTAGTATACAGGGCGTGTAGGACGCAGCGGACCTGTGCGATGGGAAAAAGGTCAACCCAGAGGATATAGAGACTGTGTATTTCTGAAGGTGCTGTTGTAATATCGGTTTGCACTGTGCACTGCCCTTGAGGGTCCCGTCCTGCTTGTCTCCTTGGAAGAGAGCGAAAAATCGTCGTCTCGGACTTTATGACAGCGAGGCCTGGTGGTCATTCCAAAATCGCTCCCAAACGCGTCGCGCGGTCCATCAGCCTGCTCTCATCGATTCTCTACCATATTATAGGACGGAAGGGTAACCAGCACATTCTGCTCGAACTGCAGTTGCGGCGCTGTTCAGCGTTCGGTCTGTCGACTAAGTATCCTTGGCTGCGCGTAGAGCCTGCCCATCAGTCCGCCTGACGAACGGCATACCCTGCGGGAGTCGCGTCCCCGCGCCGGGTGACCACCAACGCGCACTCGTCTAGCATGCTACGATGGACAGCCTCGACCTGTCGTCTCGGACTGCAGAGAATGTGTCGGACCGATCATCCATGACTCTCCCCGTGCAGCACAGCCTCCGTATCGGAGTGGGTGTTGCCGGCGGCGGCGGCTCGGCCGCATCTTCCAGTACGACTCTTGTCAGCAATGGCAGCTTGCTCTCTGGCTCATCACTGTCCATACACGTTTCCGCCGTCGAGCGCATCTTAGCCGCGGAAGCGCGTCCGAGAAATGCAGAAGATGATGAAGAGTCAGCAGTAGTTCATTATGACGTGGCAGATGCCTCGAATGTGCTGCCAAGACGAGGTGATGGGAGACACATCAATTGTGTGTTGAGCCCTACGGCATCCTACGCGTACCCTCTGGCCTCCGCGTCGGGCTCAGTCTCAAGATCGCGGTCCATCTCACCGATCTCCTCTGGCGCCGCCTCTCCTCCTTGGTACGCAAGTGAGCTGGCATTGACGCGCGATGCCCAAGTCGACAGCCATTTGCCTACCTTTACCGGGGCAGATGGGAGCACTGTGACGCGCGATACATCGCTCCAAAGTTCCGAAGGCTCGCGACACCAAATACGCAAGCGCCATTCGGACATTCAGCGCATCAAAGCTCTCCTCACCAACATGCAAGCGGATGGAGAACCTGCGCCGCCTTCGACACTCGAGCACCGTGTGATCCTGCCGCGACAGCGACCGAGGCGGAGAAGCCGTGCACCCCACCTTTCACGCGAGTTGAGGGGACACGAAACACCACCTGAAACCACAAGTCGTGCTGGCGTATTTGCTAGCCCGCCAGAGGCTCTAGCGAGCTTGTCTCATGCACGTCGTCGACACTCGTCACTAGAAGGAAACCCGAGCACCAGTAGCAGCAACAAGCAAACAGACGTCATGAGTGGCACGAGCAGTACTGCCCGTCCGCCGAATGAAACGCTCGTCAGCGATCATGTCTCGTGGCCCTCGTCTTCGTCCTCATCTTCATCCTCGGTTTTAGAGGATTCGACCAGGACAAGGGGAGGTGAGATGTTGCAATCACTGCACCAGCATCCGCCTTATCGTTTTGGTGGCTCTACGACTGGCAAGCCACAAGACCAGGAACCCGACATCGAGCAGGGGAGCCTGAGCATCAGGCGCAAAGTCCAGCCGAGAGCGCGACCTCAAATTGGTGACATTGAAGATGCTCACGAGCTTCCACTCTGTCCGGATGACTGCAGGTGCTCAGATGCAGAACAGGAGAGCGGGCTGTACCGCTGTGCGATGCGGAGCAGTCCGGAGGGCAGTTCTGGGCAGGAGGAAGAAGGCACCAATCGGAGCTTACATGGTCTGCACAACACACGTAGTACCCTGGTCCATCCATCCTCCTTATCATCCCTCAGAGGTCAACGGGATCTTGCACGCTTTCCGGCAGTGCGTCCGCGAGCGGACGATGAAGTTAGCTCCGGCTCGCTAGCCTCCGTACATACCAGACAAGAATTGCGAGTCGAACAAACTGCAGGACAGTTGAACACGTCCTTTGTATCTGCACCGATCTGCTCAACAAGACCTTCGCCAATACGCAGCCACTCATCTCCTATCAAGCATTCTCCTTTCGGGTCTCTGGCAGACGTAAATATCGACCGAGCGTGCAATACCTCCTCGCCTCCGGCGGAAAGCCAGCATTCCATGCGCCTTGCAACAAACGCGACCACGGCCATCATCTCTCCCTTCGCATCTACATCGAAGCGCAGCATCACCGACTTTTTTGAGCGTGTCATGCGCGATGAGCAAGAGAAGCGCGCGCAAAAGAATACAGAGCGAGTGAGATTGGCTCCTTCTGTCGCGGAGCGCAGGGATGAGGTGCAGCTCAGGCCGCGCAGTTCAAAGGTGAGCACACGAATGATTGAACGAATCGGCCGACGACTGACGCACAATTTCAAACTTTCGTGAAGGGAACTTTGCAAGCGATTGCCAGTGATTCAATCCCTACCGAGTTCCTGCGCGCGACTGACACCGCCAGTTCTTCGTTACTCTTCGAAGCCGAGGGCCGCGATGGATCTGAAAAGCTTGGCGGGCAAAAGTTATCAGCCTACGTTGGGTCACCCGAGTCAAATGCCAAATGGAAAAGCTTTGGGCGTGCGTCGGGTGCCTCTTCTCTTCCTTACTCTACGCAATCGCCCTCTCTCAGCCACACGCCACCGCGAAATGCACATCAAATGGCTAATCGCGGGCCAAATGAAATCGGCATCCTGAATGCTAGTCTGCCTACTGCGGGTCCAGATGCTGTGCAGGAGCAGATCGAGCGCGCGCTCGGTGGCTCTCGCAGCCCGCACCTTGAGTTACCGATAGCGCTTGGAAGCGACCGTGCTGTCCTCGGGGATGAGGAGCCAGGGATTGGGCTCAATGCCTACCAGACGCCTGGATCTCGCGGCAGCAGCCTTATGCGTCGGCGCTCGGGGCGGTTGGTCCGTTTCAGCCCAAAGCTCGAGTATCATTCTCCAACCGGCTCGGAAAGTACCGACTTGGCCTCGCCACAAGCAGACGACAACAGCTTTTCGCGAGAGATGCGGTCGTTGCATGATGCGTTGGAGGACCTCAGCAAAAGTCATAGCTCGCACAGCCCCGTCAGTGATCACTTCCTACCGCTCCCGCCACTCGCCGAGCCTCAGCCGCCGAACATGGACCTGTCTGTGCTATATGCGACCGAGGTGCATGTAGCAGCCAACAGCGCGGCAACGCCTCACAATGAAAGCCTTGCGTCGAACTTGACGCCGCAGCCGCCAGGGTATTACAAATCCCCATCCAAGTCCAGTTCAAGGTTCTCTCGGCATATTCTTCTCAGGCCCAAGAAGCGAGAGGCGCCGGCTAGCGAGCCTGGCCGGGCGTACTTGGAGAGCGGTTCCCGCGTCGACGGTAATGATGACGACCGATCGAATGACTCTAGCGATCCGAGCAACGGTGCCGGTCGCATCGCATTGACAGTCCCAAGGGCTTCGACACCTCCACTTGCCTCGCCGGCAGCGCAGTCTCCGCTTTTCTCGCATCTGAGTGGGATCGAACCGACTTTCTTTTCCGCAGATGCAGACGCAAAGGTGCCTGACTCTATACCGAAGACAGATACAGTGGACAAGAAGCGCTCCACCAGTATTCGACAGACGATCCAGCAGCTCGACCAAGCCTTGGAAGCGCTCAAAAGCGTCCATGTGCGGAAAATCGAGATTCCTGTGCCAATGCATCGTACCGAGGATTCACACGCGTCGTCTCAGCCTTTGTTTCGCCAAAGCTCACATGTGCAAGACGACCAGGGAAAAATGGCCAAATCGATGGACGACTGGTCCGAAGATGAGAAGCAAGCTGGGAGCATCGCGCGTCTCGAACGTGCTCGCACGCAGCTGCAGCTGCAACTTTCAGCCAAAGCGCTTGTGCACGCTCAGAGAAAGAGTGACAGTCATGTGTCGATGATCTCTGCAGCACGTCGGGTAGCGCGAAAGGTCGTGGGCCTTCTTTTTGCACTGTGGTTCCTACTGTGGATCATCGACTGTCGCGTTCAGATACTCTTCCAATCGCTACATTCCTCTCCAATTGTGCCCAGCATGTACAATGGCGGCCATCGTTTTTCGTTTGCTCCCATCTGGTTCATCGACACCGGCACCGCCTGGCAGCGGGAGCACGACGAATGGCAGGCGCTTGCGCGAGAAAGCTCGTCCATTGTCGAGATGGCGGCTTTGATATTCAAAACTCGGAGCTGGCGCTTACTGCATTTAACCGCGCGATCCACTTCGCTTGGTGGGGACGAAGCGTTCGCCGGAGTGCTATCTGATACTCACAGTTTACCCCGTGCTTTCATCTAATTCCGATACTAGGAGGGCCTGCGAACATTGAGGATTCTTGAAAATGTTGTATCATCGTGTGTACTACATGTGCAAAAAGAACCTGCTCACAACACATCTGAGCACTCTATCCCACATGCTATGCGATGCGCACCATCTGCAGAGAATCTACATGAAGTCTAGGTCCTCCTCGACGGCATCTGCGTCTGCGATCGTGATGTCCGAAGTCAGTGTGGAACTCGGAGCCACGCCACGAGCCAGAGGTCCTCACAATTGGCGGTATCAATCTTGTCCTTAGCGCTGGCGGTGCTGTTGTTCTTTGGTTTGGGCTTTTTGACCTGTCCACCCGCTTTCTTAGCCTCCTTCTCAGCCTTGGCCTTCTTCTCTGCAAGATCCTTGAGCTTGGCGCTGGCGAGGCGCATGTCTGTGTCGCGCATGCCCGCGCTAAGGAGCGTGATCAGGTGTGGCGCAAAGTGCTTGTCGAACCCCGTGCGCGACGTTTGCGGCTTGATGAGCTGCTCAAACAGCTGTGTTGAAAAGGAATCCCAGTCTTCTTTGGATACGGGTTTGGCGTTTAGTAGCTTGTTTAGCGTAGGGTCGTCCGACGAGGAGATTCGATTTTGCCCGAGAAGGTTGGCGGCGTTGTCCATGTCCGCCTTCAGCTGGGCTTCCCTCTCTAGCCGCCTCTTCTCTGCCGGGTCTTCTTCGTCCTCCTGATTCTCATCATCGGACTGAAAAAGCGGCAATGCGATCAGCGGAGATTCATTTGCGCAGCTATCATTCTCGACTCACCTCCAGACCAAGCTCCTGCCTCCGCTTCTCCGCAGCCTCTTTTTCCGCCAATTTCTGTTTCAGCGTCCCCTTCTTTTTCGCGGGAGCTAGAGGTGCCGGCTCCTGTGGCTTTTCGTCTTCTTCCTCCCAGTCGTCCTATGCACCCGAATGGGGTGAGGGTGTGATTGGTGCACGCGTCAATCCTTCGCTCCCAAGGCATCGAGCTGTCGCCCAGCATGTCAGGAGCGCCTACCTTGACCTCATCCTCCTCATCGTCGAACCGACGGCGTCCCATTGTCACTGCCGACGGCGCAGTGACCTTCTTGGAGGTCTCCTCATCGGAGGAAGCATCTGGGAGTAGCCGATTTCAGTCAATGGCCGGTCGCGCGAACAACTGCTTTCACCTGATTCTCCGGCTCATTTTCAAACTCACCCCAGTCAGACATGATGTAAGTTGTTTCGAATTTTCGCTTCGTTGCTACTTGAACGTGCCCGTCTCAATATACGCTTCAGCGGTACTTCCAATGGAGTGTGCGCCGTGAAGAACCCCGAGGATGGTGCGCCGTGCTATAACTGAAATGCAACGAAGCTCGCTGTTAAAAAAAAAGCTGATGGCTTCAGGCATTCGCTATGCGTAACCCTAAGTCATCACTGATTTTAGGCGTTGAGGTCGTCATAATCGCCATTGCGATACTCTGGTGGGGAGCACGATTGCCTGGACGCTACATTGAGTAGCGAGTATCTGTATGGGGCCACAAATGAATGGCCTGGAGGGCAGAGGTGGAGGGCATGGTTGATGTTGTCCGTATCAGTGGCCGCAGACTGTAGGAAGATAACCTCACCGTGACAAACGACGCTCCCTTTGTGGTTGCAACATTCTATCGCAATGTCTGGGTTATGAGCAATGATGAATGAGAAGCACATAGATGGTCTCAATAGATACAAGGGTAGATCGGGTGTTGGGGAGAAAAAGTGGAAATGGCGTTGTCTGGCTGAATTCTCTCAGGTGCCGATGCTCTTCAAGGTGTTGGCGAGGGTCTGCGCCCCAGGATTGCGGGCTGTGGCGCCTGGGGTTGGCGGCAGCGTCTCAAGCGGCGCATTGTGCTCGATCGCCGCGTCGCCGTTGGTCTTGCTGCCGCCGGCGCTCTGATAGTTGCACGAGTTCTTGGGCGCGGGGTCGACGCTGCCGAGCGTACATTCGGCTTGCCTCTGAAACAGTTCGGACAGTGTGGCGATCGTCCTGGGAACGTCCTCGTGCATCAGCTCGGCGTCAAACACCGGACCATGGAAACATGACTCTGAGCCTATCGGTAGCTGCACAAAGAAAACGGTCTATGCGTGCTCCGTTTGCGCCGAACTTGACTTCGTACAAGCTATGCTGCTTTACCACATCCCGCGCCGCATCAAGAGTGAAAGGCTGCGCGTGGCGGTACCTCCATTACAGCCTTAATCATAACCCTCCGTGACGCCAGGCGGTCCGCTGCTGCGGCTTTCTTGACGACGACATGAGCCTGCACTATGGCAGCCTCAAGCGTCTCGGGGCTCAGTGACGACAGCTTACCCGTCGGGAACGCAAGCGGTGACGAGGTGAGAGAGGGTGGCGAGGACCGGAAATAGTTTCATGATGAGGACAGCATTTCCGGCGTCGACGCCAGTTTCTGAAACCTTGTAAGTCGCTTGGGTGGCATGGAAAGCCGAAGATGATGTAGGGAGGGATGGAGACGACGAGGGCTGAGGTGGGCCTCCAGCACTTTCCAAAATATCTCACATGGCGAGCCGACGGTCGCTGTATGGAGCGAGTTCGGGATCCCGGTACGTCCGGGCTCTGGCTCTATGGGATGTGCTCAATGGTTAGAGAGCAGTGTGGAAGATCCAAGTTTATAAATGCGTGGCGAGCAGGAAGGGGGGATGGAAAACCTACCAAGAAGTGACGAACCCATCATCAGACGCGCAAACTATGCATGCCCCGGGCTTCTTGAAAAGCATCGGATGCCGAAGATTTTAATGGTGGCTCCGCAAGTTGCCAGGTGTCTAGCAGTAAATGCATCGTATCGTTCCAGATCAAGACCTGAAGCTTGAGGAAGTGTCTTGTGCGCGGTACGATGTGGGACAGGCGTCGGATCGTTGTACTAATCGAAGATGGGATTTGGAGCTTGTAGGACGAGTTGACCTAGCTGATATACCCAATGACCGACCGGCTTTACCCAAGGCGTTCGCAGAGTGTTCGCCCTCGAGATCTTGCTGCCCCTTTGCTGCGAGCATTCCAGTGCGCTTGTTTCGGAGGTGGCAGATGACGTTGCTGCATGACTATTGAGCGCCAGACACAGCGCTTCCTCCCCCAAAGAGATTGAGTTGGTGGCGATTCCCAGCCCAGGTATGTATGAGATAAGTGGGCGGCCTGTGTAGCTCATGTCCCGACGCCCCCGTGCTTCACACACTATGCATGTATCTAAGGTTGCGCGTCGCTGGCTGTAACCGCTTGCATCAGCGATTTCTTTTCCGTATCATTTTCGAAAAGTATATAAGAAAAAGAATATTCATAGGCACCAGAGATACCGAGGGGTCATCTCATCGTCGACGCTACACGCGCATCCCGATCTCGACCATCATCGTTGAACGGAGCGGGTCCTCATTTTCTCCCATTTGCCCGGCCCACCGAGCAGGCGGACTGCCCAAATATTACGCAAAACAGCCGTATGATGCATCGATAGCGCAGCTGGATCGGTACAAGGACCGCTGGGTGCCCCGAGCACTCTTCGCCAAAATGAAGAAAAAGGTGCGTTGGTGGGCTTGCAGGTTGCGTTCTTTCTGGCTGGCTGGCGCATTTTGGACTCTGATATAGCCTCATTTACTACTGAGATCGTGATAATCCTGCTGAAATGGGGTTGTTTGTTTCCCTTATATTGTTTATTAGGTTCTCTTGATGGGAAAGTCGGGCTGCGGCAAGACGTCCATGCGCTCCTTGATTTTCTCGTCCTACAAGGCAAGCGACACACGCCGCCTCGGCTCCACATTAGACGTCGAGCACTCGCATGTGCGCTTCCTCGGCAACCTCGTCCTTAACCTTTGGGACTGCGGCGGCCAGCAGAGCTACATGGACAGCTATCTGGACAGCCAAAGACAACAGGTCTTTTCTGCTGTCGGCGTGTTGATTTACGTTTTCGACTTAACCGGAGAAGAGAGCGAGTGGGGAAAAGACGTGCGCTATTTCAAGTGCGTGATGACCAAATCGAAACCATTCCAGCATCATGCATCAATGGCCAACTATGCTGACTGCTTTCTTGCGCAGGGACTGCCTTTCGGCTTTGCAAAGCAACTCCCCGGAAGCGGGCGTGTTTTGCCTGCTTCACAAAATGGACCTTGTTGATGCTTCTCGCCGGAAATCCGTGTATGCAAGTCGAGTAGCGGAGCTCAAAAAGAAGAGTGAGGGTAGACCCGTTACCTTCTTCCCCACCAGCATCTGGGACGAGACACTATATCGGGTGCGTGCCACCTTGTGCTTACGGCCAGGCACAGCTCGAGCTCATGTCAGACGGCCTGGTTATCTATTTCTCTGCATAGGCCTGGTCTCTCATCGTCCACGCGCTCATTCCTAACATCGCTACGCTCGAGCGGCATCTTGCGCAGTTCGCACGAATATGCTCTGCGGCCGAGGTCGTCCTTTTCGAAAAGTCGACCTTCCTCGTCATCTCGCGCAGCACACAGCAGCCGGATGTCGATTCCAATATTGAAACCCCTGGCAGCAATGGTGCTGATGCCGATGCTTCCGCAACATCCATGTGCTCGAAAGCGGGCAACGAAGCAGCAGAGCTAGGGGCGTCGCACCCTTCAGCATCGACGTCGAGCATCGGTAGCAGCTCCACGTCGGAGCTGCACGGAGCGGCGGTTAGCACGCAAAAGGGGCGAAAGCTGAGTCCCGAACGGTTTGAAAAGATCAGCGAGCTGATCAAGAACCTCAAATCTTCATGCGCGTAAGTTTTGGCCGTGCTCATTGCTGATATTGTACTACCCTGGTTCGAGGGCCCACTGACTTGAGCTCCCCTCGTTCCTCTGCTTCTCGCAAATGCGCTTGCAGGAAGCTGCAAGCGCAGTTTCAAGGTCTGGAAATCCGCGGAGCGACATACACCGCATATCTCGATCTGTTGACGACGAATACATACGTCATGGTCATTGTCGCAGACCCGCGAATACGTGCGTACCTTTTCATTTATGGCTTCCAAAGAGTTGTCTGCGGATCTTGGAACAGTGCGATATTCGCGAATCGAAAGCTCATTCTTCCTCTTTGGTCGTGCTCGCAGAACTCGCTGCTATCAAGCTGAATGTCGAGCTTGGTCGTGAACATTTCGAGAAACAACAGGCGATCAGCACTGGTTCTGCCTAAGCTCCACGTTTTTGGCGCTCGGTGTGCTTTTTTGTCACACTGGGATGAGAAATCAATATGTATGACTGAATTCGACTTGTGTTTACAAGGTTGCATCTCGCCTTCACCTGCTTCGTTTACTCATTTCGTCACCTTCGTCGCCCACCAAGTCTCCAACCTCGCCAGCGGCAAGGAAACCCGGAATGCAATCCTAGCGATTGCATTTGTCGATCCGTGCGCTGACAGATTCGTCAACAGCGGCCGCCGTGAGCTCATACACCACTCTTCCTGATACTGTCTTCCGTTTCGCAAACGCAGGGCGCGGAGTTCGCGCTGGAAAAGAATTGAAACAGTTCGACTAGTTCGTCACGTAGCCTGCGGCACAGACCTGAGTGCGAGCCTCTCGGACAAGCGCCGATACAGAGTGATCTCGTTTGCCCAATAGATAAACTAACCGGGTTCAGCGAGATCGATGGCCTAACGCTTACATCTTGAAGCGAACACGCCATTAAGTTGCACTTGCTGAGGGATTGGTATTCTCGCTATAATGGCGATAGCATACGACCACGTGGCGCCTGATCAGAAGTTTCAGGAGCTTTGGGCTATCCTGAGGTTGTCGAGTTAAGTAGGTGCAGCCATTGCTACCGTGAGTGCCCAGGGCATCCCTGGCTGTGTTCTGTCGTGGTTGACGAGGTGGTGCCGTACTAGTGCGGAAGACTTTTCGGAAAGGGAGAGCATAAGGACACGGGATACATGTATGTAGATGGTCTCGGGTCGCTTCCTACTCAGCAAGTGCGTTCTAGGTTACCAATTTGAGCGAATTGAACGAGCAGTGGAACAACAAGGGTTGAGTCTCGATGCGTGTTGCGTGGCGGGCGCACTGTTAAGCACTGTGGTGCTTTCGCAGAACGCACTACGGCGTCCGCAGTACGGTTCGTCCTGCTGAAAGGCAAGCCCTCCCCCTTTCAGCTGGGGGACGGTTCAGACCAAAAGGATGGTGAATGCTACTTTACTATCTTCGATTTGCGCTCTTTTTATCACTGCCTAACTCTGCGGAGCTCATACAAACACTACGATAAGGCCGTAGTAATCAATGAAACAAAGTATGTGTACCTTGCTGTTGTCTAACCCTACTTTCTGTCTGCTCCGCACGAGTGAAGGACGAGAGGGCTGCTGGCGGTCGTGTCGGCTCGGGCACTGGGGCAGTTTGTTGTTGTGGTGCGCGACGACTACCTTCATTCAGATCAAGTTGGAAGCCCATCCCTCCTCCTTCTCGTTGAATGCTAGCTTGGAGACTCTCCAGGACAATCCGCTGCACAGCTGCGATCCCGGATCAAAAGGCCCGCAGGCGCAGTCTGGACTGCGGATATTGCTGCGAGGTCTGCAGTACCCGTTCCAGAGCTCTGAGAGTCGGCACCATCGGCTGCAGGCCCAGTACAGCGCACCACCGGCACTTCGGGCTTAACTGTCACAGACATACATAGTTGCCTTGCGCTTGCTCATAAGGATCGCCCACCATGTCGACCTTTTTTGCCAAGCAGCAGCAGGTCGCCGCACTGGATCCGCGCTTGGGTGGCCTGATGGCCAGCGCTGGCCTGTACAACCTCAAGGCACTCATCAAGGCCATTCGGGCGTGCAAGACATTGGCCGACGAGCGCAACCTTATCCAGAAGGAGTCCGCATCTATCCGGACGGCATTCAAGGACGAGGATCCGCTTGCGCGGCACAATAACATCGCCAAGCTGCTCTATATTCATATGCTTGGCTACCCGGCCCACTTTGGGCAGATCGAGTGCCTCAAGCTTGTCGCCACGCCGCGCTTCACCGACAAGAGGCTCGGGTATCTGGGGATCATGCTGCTGCTCGATGAGAACACCGAGGTGCTTACGCTCGTCACGAATGGTCTCAAAAAGCGAGTTTGTCGAGTGGCTTGAAGGGGCGGCAGCATACGGTGGTTACTGACATTCGAGCATTTCTTCTCTCATCCTCCAGCGACATGAACCACTCTAACATGTACATCGTCGGGCTGGCGCTCTGCACATTCGGAAATATTGCGTCGGAGGAAATGTCGCGAGATCTCTGCAACGAGGTAGAGAAGCTCATGGGAAGCAGTAATACCTACATCCGTCGAAAAGTGAGCCTCACAGATGCTTTTGGTGCTTTTCAATTTCATTTACTTATCTCCTTATGCTTGTGCAGGCTGCTCTCTGCGCTATGCGCATCGTCCGAAAGGTACCCGACCTCCTCGACCACTTTCAAGAACGCACACGCTCCCTCCTTTCGGACAAGAATCATGGCGTTCTGCTCTGTGCGGTCACTCTCGCCATCGAGATCGTCCATGTAGATCCATCGGAGGAGACGCTGGACGCGTTCCGCAAATGCGTACCACTGCTCGTCAGGCACCTCAAGGCACTTGTGACGACAGGTTATTCACCAGAACACGACGTCAGCGGTATCACAGACCCGTTTCTGCAGGTTAAGATTTTGCGGCTCTTGCGCATCTTGGGTAAAGGCCATCAGGCGGTGAGCGAGAGTATGAACGACATTCTAGCGCAGGTCGCAACGAATACAGAGGCGAGCAAGAACGTGGGCAATGCGATCCTCTACGAGACGGTCCTCACCATTCTTGATATTGAAGCGGAGAACGGGCTGCGCGTCATGGCCATCAACATCCTGGGCAAATTTTTGGGCAATCGCGACAACAATATTCGTTATGTTGCGCTCAACACGCTCAACAAGGTCGTTTCGCTGGACACGAACGCCGTGCAACGTCACCGCAATATCATCCTCGACTGCCTGCGCGATGGCGACATTTCCATCCGTCGACGAGCGCTCGAGTTGTCCTACGCTCTCATCAACGAGTCCAATGTCCGCGTCCTCACGCGCGAGCTTCTATCCTTTTTGCAGGTAGCGGACAACGAGTTCAAGCTAGGGATGACGACGCATATTTGCCTTGCTGCGGAAAAGTATGCTCCCAACAAGAGGTGGCACATCGACACTGTCCTGCGTGTGCTCAAGCTGGCAGGCAACTACGTGCGCGAAGACGTGCTCAGCAGCTTCATTCGACTTGTGTGCCATACGCCAGAACTTCAAGCATACACTGTCCAGAAGCTCTTCTCCGCCGTGCACGCGGACTTTTCGCAAGAGTCACTGACGCTCGCTGCCGTCTGGGTAATTGGAGAGTTTGGCGAGGTGCTGCTTCAAGGCGGTAACTTTGAAGACGAGGAGCTCGTGCGGGAAGTCAAGCCAAAGGACATTGTGGACCTGCTCGATGCACTTCTCAACTCGCCATATATCAATAGCCACATCCGCCAGTACATCCTCACTGCCCTCGCCAAGCTCACCAGCCGGATAGGCAGCAGCGATGCGCCGCAGATCCAGCGCGTGCAGCAGATCCTCCGGTCTTTCGACTCGACCGTCGAGGTCGAGATCCAGCAGCGTTCTGTTGAGTACAGCGCGCTGCTCCGGCGGCCGGACATCAGCGAAGGTGTGCTCGAGAGTATGCCTTTGCCCGAAGTCAAAGCGACTATCGTGGGCACTGTCAACGAGAACAAGTCGGTCGGTTCGACAAAGGTGGACAAGAACGACCTCCTCGACCTGATGGGCGGCGACGACCTCGTGGCTGACGGAAGTGTAGCGGCAGGGGCAGCGGTAGGTACTAGGAATGGTGTCAGCACAGCGCCCGGGGCAGGTTCTTCGCAGCAAAGCACGCAGGATCTCCTCGCCGATATCTTTGGCGGGGGTGGCCTTGTGGATGCTGCCGCTTCGAATGCAGCTGCCGCTGCACCACCCAAGGCGAGCGTCGATGATATCATGGGCCTGTTCGGCCACAGCGGAGCTTTGCCGTCTGCATCTTCCGCCGCGCCGAAGCCTGTTCCGGCTCAATCAGCCAACTCAGACCTAGGCGGCCTGGATCTGTTAGGAGGGGTGGGTATTTCGTCTTCTTCGCAGACAGAAGCACCAGCACCAGCGCTTGCGGGTTCAAGTTCTGTTGTTGCCTACAGCGCTTACGACCAGAAGGGCCTCAACATCACGCTCACACCGCAAGTAAGCCCCATGCGACCTGATGTCGTTAACATCCTGGCCAACTTCAAAGTGACTGGAAGCCAGCAGATATCCGACATCAAGTTTCAGGCCGCCGTTCCGAAGGTAATATCTGGCGTTCAACTCTTTTGTGTCACGTTTGGTTGATCACGTTCCCCGCTGAACCCTGCTTTGCAGAGTCAAAGGCTACAAATGCTGGCCATCTCAAGCCAAGCCCTTGCACCGGGTGAGGCTGCGACACAACAGATGCGCGTGATGGCGCCTCGGGGAGTGAGTGATGTTGTCTTGACATTAAGATTTGCTTGAGACAAGCCTGACACAAACGTCTCCACGCGAATGCCACAGGCGCAGGTGCGTCTGCGATTGCGGGTCGGCTTCAATGCAAACGGTGAAGAGGTGCAAGACCAAGTAGACTTTTCAGGCTTTCCCGTAAACCTGCTTGGATGATTTGTACCTGGCGCAAGATATCCCATTTACTATATTAGACACGGCGGATTAAAGTTTGATTGTAGTTTTACAATCCTTGCAGACGTAGTTCTACAGGTATGCGTGCAATGCGTATTAACGAGCCAAATGCGTGTTTCTTGAAGGAGCCAGGAGCTGTTTTTGAAATGACATTGCGGTCCCATCAGGAATGCATCAGAACAACTTCCACGTTTTCTTTCCGATAGCGACCAATCTTTGAAAGCCCCATGGTGTCAGTTGTTGGCAGTAAGCTTGCACAACTTGGCTGGCGAGACGACGATCTCCATGCCATCAGTGACCTCGCTACCGAGTACCTAGCTGATGACGAGCTTGGAAACCCAAGAGAGGCCGTCGACTTCGTGGATCGGCGCATTGTTTTCGACGGCTTTGCTGATTAGCGTAGACTGTTGCACGGTATCTCCGCCGTCACCATTCTTGGCTTTTGCCAGCAATTCTTCTTCCGTAACTTGAAGGTCTTTGCTTCCTTCGATCATGTGCTTGATCGAATACAAGCTCTTGGACTTGCCCTTGAGCAATCGACGCGCTCAAAGGAAAGAGATGCGCTCGTAGCCCGCGTGCTTACAAATATGAGGCCTCGCTTGTTCTTGTGGCGTGCGTGGAAGCCGATGGGCCCATCGCCGATACGCCTGCCCTTGGCAGTAATAGCATCCTGTACCAATCGGCTCTTGGCGGGCAGAGGGCTGATGGACGTCTCCACACATTTACCGCCAAGAAACGTCTCGACGCCAATCTTGACACAGTCCTTGCGTAAGCCAAGGAAGGGGGCATATTTCTTGTTCATCGGCTGCCCGCTGCCACCTTGGCTCGAAACAGTTTTCGCGTCCTGCTCCTGCTGCGGCTAGTGATTGGAAGCATGTACCGCTATTTCGTCGCGATGCTCCTCGGGGACATCCGGGTGAACGGCCATGGCCGCACCTTCGTGAAAGGAGGAGGGGGTCGCCGCGCCCATGCGTGGCGGCAGTAGGCATCGGTTCAGCTCTCGAATGCGGAGGAGTGTGAGGTCAAGCTGCGCATTGATGGGGATACTTTTCAAGATGTTGTTGCGTAGCTCCCATTACAGACACCACTGAGAAAAGTACATCTTGAGAAACGCGATTGCGAGCACGGGTTTAAGGTGTTGAAAGAGGGGCTGGTTGAAGCCGAAGCCTATAGCGCGAGTAGTGGACCACTACTCCAGCATTGCATTCAAAACTGCTGCTGCGAGAAGAACGGGGACGAGAAATGATGAAAGGCGATAGCGGGGCATCCACTTCGCAAACGGTGGTGTCAGCGAAAGAGCCCTGCGGTGGCAGAAAATCGTCAGTATAAAATATCTATGCTTTGTGAAAAGATTGTTGTGCACGCACTTCTCCAGCCTTTCCCACTAATCGGCAACCTCGTTCAAACTGAGAAAAATTGCACCATGCTTTTCCAGATAGCCTTTTCTATCGCCTTCTTTATGTGATCTTTTAATCTCCGCTTTGCTGCCATCCTGGGCTTGAACACTGTTGGCCTCACCTTCGGCAGCTGCCTTCAACTCAGTGCACTCGGTGACTGCCTCAGCTAGGGATGGCATGGGAGCTAGAGCATCGGGCTTGAGTTTCTCACCTCCTTCCTTTGCTTCTTGGTCATCTGATATGTCTCCATCAAAGTGCTCGACGTCCACCTCATCTTGATTCATGTCGTTAAATTCATTGACTTCGTTACCATTCTCACCATTTTTGTGGTTTATGGAGGTCGTACATCCATCAGCCGTGCTGATGGGAACGGTTCATCGCGATGTGGCAAAGTTGCGCGTTTCCTGCTCGACGGCCTCTCCCTTCTACGTCCCTGCGGCTGCTATGGCGCTGTCATCTGTGCTGAGCTGGCCAACACCTGGAAGACGTGCATCTGCGATGCGCTCGTCGATAATGGCCAGTGGTACAGCCGGGAAGAGCGTGCTACGCGCCGCGTCAGACACGATCAGGGCAATGAGTAGCGCAAAATAACGCCCGGCTGGAGGTCGCGCGCCCACGTAACGGCGTAAAATGTAAAGAAGAGCATGCGCAGAGATTGGCACCAGCTCCTGATATGTGAAGTATGCTTGAAGAATGCGTTCATCGAGACAATGCCGATGTTTTAAGATGTTCAAGCGTCGAGCGAAGCTTTTCTGGCGAGAATTCCTCCTGCAGTGAGATGCTGAGATCGAGTGGATCTTGTTTCTGCGTCGACGAGCATTGACCTTCGAAACGAGGAATCCTGCACTCTCTGCAGATTGAACTGCACCGTTGTTGTCATCGTCCTGAGTGTCATTGTTTTGCTCTTCCAGTCACCTAACGTGGTGTGTCTGGTTGTTCGGACGGAGAATGGGCAGCCAGAGCTCGTCGTCCGACATGCCATGCAGGACGGGGATCAGCCGTGCACCTGCACCTTCGAAGTAGTTCCATCCGAGATCCTGTACACATGTTTCTTCAAGGAAGCTCGGCGCACCGCTGTCAAATGGTACAGCCGAACGAAGAGCAGCGATGGCCTTGGCGCAATCATGGCCGCCTACTGCGGCAGAGCCTCCAGCAGTAATGGTCACAGCTGCAGATGCCTCGGCTGGGTTGTTATATTTGCTCCCAGACAGATGCGTGTCCTTAGCGGTCTTTTTGATGGTTGAGAGTGTTTCGTTGTGGTCGGGAGGGTTGTCAGTTTCGGGAAGGTGCTCGACCGGCTTGCTTGCTGGGTTGTCAGGCTGCTCGTCACGGCCACGAGATATCCTTGGCATTGCATCGTCTTGGATATTGGCTATTGCTGCGCTGATGTCGTGGCCGCGCTGATGTCGTAGCCGCGCTCGGGTCTGACATTCTGGTCATGATGATGCTCCCACCCTTCTATCTCTTTTAGTCGGGGAGAGGAGTATGCACAAGTCTGAGCTGTGAAGTGCCCCAGCCTTGCATCGACCGCCTATGCAAAGCGTATATTTAGTTAGTGTGCGAGCTGTGAAAGTCGCGCCAGGCGTATTGCGATACGCATGTGCCTCCCTTTTTCAGCGGCCTGGGTTGTGTTACATCACGCGAAGCCTTCTTCATCTTAACGCGCTCGTTACGCGTCGCATGGCGTTTCTTCGTACCAACAGAACGGTGTTCGCTCGCCCTACCATGTATATTGTGTTTATGAGAGAAGGATGCGCGCTAGGCGGGGCTTTGACGACGACCCGATGACATCATTTGCATACATCCCACCTCAATGTCAGCCAGGATTGAATGTAGGGTTGCAGATCTGCTTCCATTCAGTGCAGCTTCAGCCTCTCGTCAGGACGCGCCTCATTCCTTCAATTGCATTCTTTGTAGAACATGCGGGTCTTTATGACAAGCGAAAGTTCAGCTAGCTACTGGGCCACTGTCGCATCTGCGGCAAACTGATACAGCAAAATGATACCTCAAGAAAGCGGGGACGAGGTCGTCGAGGCTTCGCGCTCGGCCGCTGATCCGGCCCGCCGAGCAACCGGCCATGGTCGACAGCCGGCCGGCAAACCCGTGTCTGGGGGTTCGTCAACGTCCCCACCATCATCAACAAGGGTGAAGCTGCAGCTCGTGTTAGTACTCGGGCTCGCGTCCCGACTGGCGCTATTCGCTCTTCTCCCCCCATCGACTTTACAAGATCTTGCAGAGAGCATAGAACTTGCCAGTCCTAGCACAAGCCTCAAGAGCTTGAAAGAAGCCGTCTACCTCGCTCGCGCTTATGACCTGACGCAGCAAGGCCGGCATGCTGTGCCGGCAGGATCAAATCAAGAACAACGACCTGGAAAGTCGCAGCAAGTACCACAAATTACCAGCTCGAACCCTTGGAGCTCAGGTCACGTTCATCACTCGCCACTCATGGTCTGGGCCCTGCGACCATTTGTAGCAACGCCAGCCGTTAAACTCCACCTCAGACCAGAGCACAAGTACGGTGGGGCGCGCAGTCGAAAGCATGAATACTCTCGCCAAGGGAGATGGGAGGGAGAGAGCGGAGGTGTCGGATCTTTTCTCAGCCAGCTGCAGCAACAGACTGAGAAGAACGCGATGCTCTCAGGGCTGTTCGCGTTGGCTGTCAAGTCTGCTAGCAGGTTTACACCTTTACAATGGCTCTTTACGCTGCTAGACGTGCTTGGCGCCATCTTTCTAGCAATCACAGAAGCTAGACGCGCTGCATGGCGGAACAAGTACAGTCGAATACGAGGTGCTCGTGAGGTCGAGCTCAACGTGCAAGCCTATGAGAGGCAAAAAGCCAACAAGGACGGCGATGCCGAGAAAGCAACCACGAACAGCAGCAATAGCATCGATGGAGAAGATCGCAGGGCAAAAGTGGCAGCGCTCTATCTGTTCAACCCGCTCGTCTTAGCCACAAGCCTGGCAATGTCTTCGACAACCATATACAACACTCTCACTTGTTTTGTGACGATGCTAGCAACGTCAATCTCATACCTGGCGTCTCGCAGGAGTCAGCTGAACGGGGGCGCAGGAAACAGTGTGTTGATATTCCTTCTCACTTTTCTCTTCGCTGCTGCCCTGTCCGCCAATGCAGTCGTCTCGCTATACCCCATCATCATTGCACCAGCGCTCGTCATGCTGGCTGCCAGATGTGTACCGTCATTGACACAGCACACAAGTCCACGCCTGACATTCCGGCTGGTTTCTCTCACGGCGCTGCTGACATTCGGCGGAATGTACCTATCTCTTGGGCCTCTCTCCAACGGAAATGTTGCCGGCGTGTTGCGGCAAGTCTACCTGCACCTCTTCATCGTATCCGACTTGACCCCCAACATCGGGCTGTGGTGGTACTTTTTTATCGAGATTTTCGACCATTTTCGCAACTTTTTCTTGCTTGCGTTCAACGTCCATCTCGCCAGCTACTGTGCGCCGCTGTGCATCAAATACACCTACGATCCTCTCTTTGCTGTCACTGTCCTGTCCGGCATCACGGCTGTGTTCAAGTCGTACCCGACACTTGGGGATACGGCCCTTTACTTCGCCCTCCTGTCGTTACATCCCGAGATTTTCCCATGTGAGCCAAACCTCTTTGGATCTTTGTATTAACATCTCACTTACGCTTTGCATTTTGGCGCGCTCTCCGTGCAGACCTCCGCTATCCAACGGTGACGACGCTTCTCTACACGTATTCGCTTCTTCTTCTCCCGCTCTTTCACCACCTATGGTTGCACGCTGGATCGGGAAATGCCAACTTCTTCTACGCGATCACGCTCGTCTTTGTGCTCGCAGGAGGATCGAGCGTGTTGGATGCCATGTGGGCCTGGGGCGCGCTTGCATGGGAGCGAGAGCGGCCACTGGCGCCGCCACCATCCGCAGTGGAGGGTCAAGCAGACAGCAAACGCGTGGTCACGCAGGTATAATAGAGATAGGCATTACGATACATAAGACAAATCAAGATGAGTCGTTACACCTTCCTGCCAGCCGTCTCGAGAGCAGGCGCAAGTCGCGACAGCGCGATGAGTACAGCTTCTTCAGTTCTGATCGTCCGACTGCCCTGGTTCTCTGCGACGTTGATCCAGAGGTCGAAGAGCTCGTGTGCATCATCCGCACCCAAGGGTATCCCCTTGTCATGCTCGATCACGACCTCGAGTCCACTGAGTCCGCCAAAGACGAGCATTGCATGATGGAAAGGAGGTATCCCCGCGTTACTTGCACATGCCGCATCACCCGTCCCCCCACCGCTCAGAGCTAAGAGCTGAGAGACAGGTTGCCCGCGCTCAGATGTGCCGATGACCAAGTCGTAGCCGCCATCACCGCTCGCGTCTGTCCCGCTTTGCCAGGGTGAGCTGCTGAGCGCTTGGGAAAGCGAGTCGCAGAGTCTGACAGAGTAGCCCCAGTACATGCCTTGCTTTTCGACAGGCGTGCGAGGGGACACAAGTGTTGCTGCACGAATAGATAATGAGTCTAGTCACCAGGCGTTGCATTGGGCAGTGTTCTTGTCATCATCGAGGCTCACCTTTACCACTCTCATTCTTGGGCATCTCGACCGTGACACGCATATCCGCCGCCAAGCCCGCGCTCACCGGTGCCTCCGTACGGACGTTATCCCAAAGCCCCACGTCAATCAGCCATTCCTGCATTCCACTTTTCATAGGGTCCTTGTTGTGCTTGGAGCTGCTCTTGGCGTTCGGGCTGACGATGACCCCTTCACGGTAGCGTGCCTGGTCTTCCCTCCTCAAATGGTGCGGCAAGTCTAGCGGCGGTAGCAGTCCAGCGTAGCGTAAATCAGGATGCATGGGAAATAAAACCTTGCGGAGATACCTTTGGGAGACACCGTGCATTCGAGTCAGCGCAAGTGTGCGGTGAAGGAAGTAATCGAGTACGGCTCCGCTCACTGAGGCGTTTCGAGATACTGCAGGATTCTCGCCATGAAAGCATCCTCATCGTACGAATCGCCTGTTCCACCTTCCTCTTCGGTGATACTTGCACCCTTGCTGTACCGCCCTCTTCCATAGCCGCCTCTACTTTCGAGCACAGCAGTATCTTTTGCCCTTTGTCCTTCTTTGAAGATGACAATCTCATCCACGTTGAAGATAGCGGCAGCGCGCGCAACGTGGGCGACCAGCCTTGCACGCAGCTCGGGAGACTGCGAGTTGAGTATGATACTGCCAGGCAGTGCTATGCTCAGAGTATGCTTGCGGCTGCCGTGTGATGAAGTGATAGGTAGAGAAAAAGCGGACGGTTTGTGCGGATTGACGCGGCTGTAGAAAGGTGATACGGCCTCTTTGCGATTCGCTTCATCCAAAATAGATGAGTGTGCGGCATCTTGAACGTGATGGTGATTGTTCGGTTTGCTTTTCTGTGTAAGGAGATGGTGGTGCCAGGAGGGGCAAGTGAGATTGCATGCACACAGCCGTCGGCGGGGTTTCATCGATGACCTCGCGGGAACTCACCTTTTTGGGTGGATTGAGCTGCGTCAAGTCCGCCATTTTTGGCTCGTATTCCGATCGCCTGTGCTATATCAGGGCAGCCAGCTTCAACGGGAGAACAGTGACGCTGCCAGGGCATACCCCATGAGCTCCATAACATGGTCTTGAAGGCAGAGCAAAGTTGGGTGTCTGCATTCACCACCATCGACTGGAGCATCGAGAGATTCTAACTCTGCCGGGCGGGAGAATCTGAGTTGCACCGAACGATGAGATGCTTCCTCGCTGTAACCCTAGCCCTAGTCTTAACCCTAACCCCGCGCCCTCTTTCTTTATAGCCGGTTCACGTTGACGAACCGGGCCGGAAAAGAATGAGCGCGAGAAGAGGAAAGAACCCACTATGACAACGACGAGAGACGACGCTCGTCTCTGACACTGGATCGACCACAAGCATTTCTCTCTCTTGCCATCTCTCTTCTTATTGGACACTTGGACAACCCGCCCTCTTCTATCCTTGTCGCAGACGAAGGAACTTTCCTTGGGTTCCTCGGACTGCCCATCGCAGTTCATATCTTGTGCGTTGCGAGCCATCTATACCTCCCAAAGCTCAAAAAGAGAGCGATGACCAAACCAGGCCCGGCTCGCCTGATTCCTCCTCTCCTTCGAGAGGAAATGCCTTCGCCAGCAGTTGCGTCAGCGGGCGCAGACGTATCTCTATCGACCAGCGGTTTTAATACGATCGATTCAGCTCTCGAATCCTTCAGCAGAGGCGAGTTCGTAATCGTGCTCGACGACGAAGATCGCGAGAATGAGGGAGACCTGATCGTGGCCGCAGAAAGCATCACTACTGAGCAGATGGCTTGGTTTATTCGGCATACAAGGTGCGTTCTTTTGTTGCTTCAGAAGCAGAGGCGACCCAATGCTCGATGGTATCGCCCGCCCTTGCGCATGAATGTCGTTTTGCTGATGCTGCCGCTTGCATTGCCTGCAGCGGATACATTTGCATTTCCGTCCACCCTTCTGTTCTCACATCGCTTCATATCCCCATGATGGTGCCCAACAATACAGAAAAGCACAAGACAGCGTACACTGTGACAGTCGACTACAAGCACGGCACCACGACAGGCATCTCGGCGCATGACCGCGCGCTAACGGCGCGAAAGCTTGCGCTTGCCGGGGCAGAAGAGCCGAACAAAAGTTCGGAAGTTTTGCCGGAAGACTTTTCGAGACCAGGGCATATGGTCCCGCTCCGGTACACCGAGGGTGGCGTCAGGGTACGAAAGGGGCACACAGAGGCGGGCGTTGGTGAGTTGCTGCATTATCGTTAACGCCTGCGATTTAAAGACATCCAAGTCACACTCGCTTTCCCCATCCTGCGCACAGATCTATGCAGAGCCTGCGGGAAAGCTCCCGTTGCGCTCCTGTGCGAGCTTGTCGATCCCTCTAGCGCAGAGGGAAACATTGCAGCACGAGATGCCTGTCTGGCTTTCGCGACAAAGCACAACCTCAAAGTCATCACGATCGAGGCGCTCAGACGATGGAGAGAGGAGCGCGAAGGCAGTCAGATCCCGGAGCTGGCCAACGCAGACTTGCAGGCAAAAGACGGGCAAGAATTAGATCTGGCCAAGGGAGTGCAGTTAGAAAAGCAAATGGTCGCTGAGTCGCTTACGGGGCCGAACGGGCCGGTGTGAGCAAAGGTCTGTTCTGGAACGGGCGTGGCTTGCAAAGCGATTCGGTGTGCAGTTATAGTATTTGCAGCAAGGCATCCACAGGAGGGCGCGCTTGGCGAGCAGCGCCCAGGACGCATAATGTATTGCAATGGTGAGCTACGCATCATGACTCCTCTGGAATGTCCAGCTTGGGAAATAGATGTTGCACCTTCTTTTTCGATACTTGCACTTTGATGCTCTCCCTCAATACTCGTAAGCTTTCCCAGCTACGCGCACCCGTATCGCCTTCTGTTGTCGTCGTACCGCCTCTTTCGATGCAAAGAGTGAGCAATAACTCTTCCATCTTGCTTGGCATGAATGGATGCAGAAGCAACCCGCAAATCCGCAGCGTCTCACTTGTAAAGTATACCGCGCGTGCTACATTCTCGTTCGCAGTGTTGGGCGACCATGGCTGGAGATGCTGAATCATCTCATTTGCCTTTGAAGACAGAAAGCCACTTGTGTCAGTGACCGTCATTACAAGGCTCAGCGCCGAGGACTCACCACTGCAATAACCTCGAAGATCACTTCCAATGCTTTTGAAAGCTCAAAACGCTCCATGTGCTCATCGACATTTGCTGGTAGCGCAGTGAGAGCAGAGACCAGCTGCTCGACAGGGCCATTGCCAGCTCCAACTGCAGGTCGCGCAAGCTCGACAATGACTTCGTCTTCGTGCAACGCTGTTCCCGCCGGTAAGAGCTTGGACACGATCTTCGGAGCCATCACCCGTGACAGGAGATTGCCCAACTGGCCTTGAAGACACTTGCGATGAAACTCCAAAAGTGTGTGATGCGAGTAATCTGCACCACAAGGTGTCAGTGGACATCATGGCGAGAAGCGGTGATCAAGACACATGCGTGCGCACCTGAGTCATTAGCGAAATTCCCACCGACGCGCATAAGGAAAAAACGCATCGTATCCACCCCATAGGCATCTAGAGCTTTGAAAGGGTCGACTACGTTACCACGCGACTTCGACATCTTGGACTTGTCTTTGGTCCAATGGGCATGGGTCAGGACGACGCGAGGCAGCTCGAGCCCTGCTGCCATCAGGAGCGCTGGCCAATAGATGGCATGAAAGCTGTATGGATTCATGCGACTTGTCAGGGCACTGCTGATGCTGCTCAGGCTGTTGTTCAAAACGTACCGGAGGATGTCCTTGCCCACGACATGCACATCTGCTGGCCACGCGCTCTGTTTCTCATCACCTCTGGAGCCCAGCCAAGGGTATCCAGTAGCAGTGAGGTAATTTGTAAGAGCATCCACCCAGACATAGATGGACTGGCTGGCGTCATCTGGCACTTGGATGCCCCAGAAGAGTCTAGACGATGAGCGGGAGATTGAAAGGTCCTGCAAGCCCGCTTTCACTTCTGCCACAATTTGCGCATGATATTTGTGTGGTTGCACAGCTGTGACATACGTTGACCGTCGGAAAGTCAGTAATAGAGATTTATGGCTGCAGCGTGATGAACTCACGCGAAGGAGTCTGCTCCAACCATTGCAGAAGGTGCGGAGCCATTTCGGACAGCTTGAGCTTGTAATTCTCTTCTTCTGCCCATTCCACACGTTGTCCGGTTTCAATGGCAATCTTTTGGATTGATTTCTGAGCAAACAATAGCTGAGATTTAGAGACATTGCCAAACTCACCTTGTACGTCTCTCCAGTGACTTCATCCTTCACATCTGTGACTTGAGCTTCAGGGTAGAAGGCCTCGTCTGACACGGCATACCACCCGGCATGACTGCCTTTGTAAATGTATCCACGTTGCTCCAGCCGCTTCCAGAAATGTCGTACAGCCGCTTTGTGATCGCAGTCCGTTGTACGAATGAAGCGGGTGTAATTGATGTTGCTTGCATCCGCCAATGCTCGAAAGCGCTGACTGACTCGATCACAGAGCTTTTGAGGATGCTCCCCAAGAGCTTCTGCGACCTTTTGCATTTTGAGACCGTGCTCATCTGTCCCGGTTGTTAACACTGGATTGAGGGATCGCGCATGGAGTATGTCGCCTGGAGCACCTGCTCTTGGAGAGACGCCGCGCGATCGCAATCGGCTCCATCTTGTGAGAACATCGGCGACGATATCAGAATGCAAATGACCGATGTGAGGGTCGGCGTTGACGTAAAAGATGGGAGTAGTGACATAGTAAGGCTTCACGCGACTGCTGTACGGACCGCCTGAGAGGGTGGACAGGCTGTCAATACCAGAAGTGATCGATCGTCTGGCAAGAACGGCGCAAGAGATAGGGCAGCAGCGGTTGCTTGCAATGCCGCCACCTAACACACGGCCACTGAGACGGAAGCTCTCGAAGGCTTGCCGCGCCCAGGTCATCGTCCACCGTGATATCTTGATACGTTCCAACGACTGTAGTGCAGGAAAAAGCGTATGAAGGGGAATGGTGCCAATGACAATGGCAAGATCGAAGCCCGATGACCCATGGTTGATGTCGGTACCAGGAGTTGTTCAGGTTTTCGAGATGAGACTCTAGTAGACGTGTAGAATATGCAAAATCTCCCAGCATGGCATACTATTGCCAATTGCCAACTAAATCTACAGCATCTTGGTCTATGTACTGATACTATGTTAGAGGCCTACGACGATAAATCTCCTATCACAATATCGTCATTTGCCATCTGCTTATCCCTTATATTCGATTGTTGCATCGCTGCACACTTTCATTCATTCAGTCCTTTTGTAGCGAGGATCTAGTGGCTAGGAATTCTCGCGAGCAACCCTGCTCCTGTCATCCGAACTTTCGGCTCGGGAGATAGGGTCGGACAGGCACAAGGTTCATTCTGGCCAGTTCCTCCTACCTCTATCTGGGGTCTTCATTCCGACATTGCAAGGACAAGTACATTGCTTCTACACGCTATTTACAATGTCCTCTTTCCATGCCTACTTGGCGAAGCACCGTGACTTTCAAGACCGCAAGGCCTCTTCATCTCGTCTGCATTCGCTCTACTCTGATCTGTCCCGACACAAGAACTCCAACCCGGCGTCCTTCCGGGCAAACATTGAGTGGTGGAGAAAAGTGTTGACAGAAACGCTCAAAGGAGGTATTCAAGGCGATGCGGCAACTGCGACTACATCTGCAGATGTGAAAGGTAAAGGCAAAGCCTCCAGCGCTGATCGAATCGTGATGCATGTCAACGAGGACTTCAAGGAGAAGTGGACACTCAGCGATGTTGGGAGGCCGCTCGGGCTTGGCACAGTCATTGTGAGTCCATTGAAGCGCTCGGTCGCTTTTATCTTGCTGACAAGGTTACATTCACACAGCTCGAGCTTGCTAACGCGTTCGAGTTGGTGCGAGCATCAGATTTTATGGCAGCGGAGAAGGCGCTTCCCGGCCCGTCAAAAGGGGCAAAAGGGCGCTTAATTTCTCCGACGAAAGTGGCATCATCATTAGCGATGGATGTTCTTACATGGGCGCTAGCCCAGCTTGGCGTTGGGTCTGCGGAAGATGATGAGGATGAAGGCGGTGACGCGAAAGCGTGGAAGGAGGCTCAAGGTGATTGGGTCTGCTGGGAAGCTGTAGATGAAGCGGCCCAGATTGTGCTACGGGAGCACTACGAGCACAGGGCCCTGCTATCCTCGCTGGATTCTCTTTACACCAAGGATGACTTTCAGGGAAAGTTGTGCACAAGGGTAGTATCCAAATGGGGAGCTTCAAACGCGGGGAGCGAGCCTCTTAGCGCGAGAGATCTCGATGCGTTGCTGAAGCATCTTCAGAGGGAATACAGCGCCGTTTCTGTCGATAATGAAGTGAGTAAAAAGAAGAAAACCTTAACGATGATTCTCTTATCCCGCTTTTTTCACTTGTAGATCGTTAAATTTGCTCTGCGAAAGGGTGAAGCCGCGCAAACAATTACACTACAAGATAAGAGCGTTGTGAGCTTGCGCGAAACGCATATGAGTCTCGAACGGCAGATTGTGGACATTGGAGAGCGTATACAGGCGTGCGTTTGATTCCAATTGGCTGGACTCATTGGCTGGTTGCTTAAATTTTTATCCCTCTCACCTTTTATAGGTGCACGAGAAAGATCAAAGAAGCGCTGTGCGCAAGGTCGCAAGAGCAAGCAAAATCCTACTTACGCTCGCGCAAGTTGCTAGAAGAGCTGCTCCTGAAGCGCACTGGCACAGTGGAGACGCTCGGATCTGTCTTGGTCAAGATCGAGCAGGCAGCTGGTGATGCTGAAGTACGTATGTGTGAGAATTCGCTGGCGAAACGTCGACTTCAACCTGGTTTTCTCCATTTCAGATCGTTGCAGCGTATGAGCTTTCAGCGACAACTCTCAAGAAGATTCTCTCTGACCCGTCTCTGCAAGTGGACCGCGTCGAGAACACTATGCAGAAACTTTCCGACGCCATCGCAGACCAGCAAGAGATCCAAGAGATGATTCGCAGCGGCGTACCTCCGTCTGGTGAGATAGACGAGGAAGAGATCATGAAAGAGCTTGAGACTCTGGAACAAGATGCAAAGAGCGAAGAGCCTGTCAAAAGAACGGCCGACACCGTGAAGCCCATGCTTCCCCAGGTACCGGCGAGCATGCCCGAAGCCGCCAAGTCCACGTCAAGCACCATTAATTCTTCGAGATTTTCGGCGAAGGATGGCTTGCAGGAAGTGACAGCATCGATTGCAACTGAGGAAGTGCGAGAAGAATCTATCGTAGTTACTTGACGAGCGATTTCGTCAGCCACAGTGTAGAATTAAATTGCCATTTGCAACTGCAAGAAATCCATCGGTTGTAGTCGTAACCCAAACTCTGCCCAAGGATATCTGCTATGACTGTTGCGAAAGGCGGGAAATATATGATGTGACATCTTCTCGTTCCCGTAGATGCTCGCTGGTTACAGCGATGCGGTGCAAGCTGGTATTGGTCAGTTTCTTCATGCAGGGTTGGTATCCTTCAAAGTGCTCGGCTGTCGGCTGTATGGGAACATTACGGTAGAGCGTTCGACTGCTGAAGCCGAACTTACCGCTGTTTTCGTGAGGTTGAGGACCCTAGTATGTGGTTGCCATGCCTGCTGATTCGGATGTGATGTCTGTGGGCAAGGTAGCGCGGTACATTTCTTGGAGGGAGTCACTTTCAATGGTTTAAGGGATTGAAATTGAAGCAACACTCTGTCCCGAATCAGAGCAAAGCAAATTCCAGCCACATTTAGGGCTAGGGTGATGAGTGAGGCAGAGGTGTGGGTGAATGTGCTGGCTGGCTTCGTGTATCACCTCCTGTATGCTGAGCCAGTCGTAGTAGCTCTTGACTGTGAAGGAGTTGTACATCAGAGAGACGCTGTCTTCAATCGCGGGTACCTCTTGCCTGCATTATCGCTCTACCATCCTTCCGTGTCGGATTGGCCTTGCGCTAACAGCGTGATCTTTTCATACACGGCCATACAATTTTGTCAAATGCGTAACGTTCGGTGAAAGACGTCAACGCACAAACGACGTGCCAGAGCCCTTCGGACTGTGGAACGCTTCCGCCTGTGAGGACGGAAGTTATTTCAGGCCCATGGCGTCGAGCTTCGCGCACGTTGCGCTCCGTCGGCGGAAGAACTCGGCCAAGTACTTGTCTTCCAGCGGCCGGCCAGGGAGCGGGTGACGGCAGAGCGCAGTGTACATGGGCTAGATCGTCACGCGCTTGGGCGAAGGCAAGAAGTCGGCCCACTGGAAAT